TTAAAAAAATTAAATAAATATTATGAAGCTATTTAGTGTTACGACAAAGCTATATCTATCAATCCTAATAAATCTGATGCTTGGAACAATAAGGGTATCACATTTAAACTACCTATCTTTAGGTATCGCTTTACTTGTTTTCTTTGGTTTCTAAGTAATTTCAATTAATATAATGATGCAATAAAGTGTTACGAAAAAGCTATTTCTATAAATCCTAATCATTCTCATGCTTGGAACAATAAGGGTAATAATATTTGAATATTTTTCTTTAGGTTTTGCATTAATTGGTGTCAGAAATTATGAAGGAGGTATTGAGTGTTTCGAAAAAGCCATTTCCATAAATCCTAAACATTATAATGCGTGGAACAACAAGGGTATTGATAAATTGAATATATTGTATTAAGGTTCCGCATTAGATAAGTTAAACAAATACTCAGAAGCTATTGTATGTTACAATCAAGCAATTTATATAAATCCGACTAATCATGAGGCATTTGTAAATAAAGCTTTTGCTCTACATTAATTAAAGGAATATTAGAAAGCAGTAGAGTGTTATAATTAAGCTCTTAAAATTACATGTTCTCCTTTAATATTATAACGTTAAGGTAACAATCACCAATAAGATTAGCTGATTCACTATTCGAATTAGGAAATAAATCTAACGCTAAAGAGACTTATTTGGCTGCTTTACAATAAGGCTCACCAGAATAAGAATATATTTGGAAATAATTACAAAAATTATGAATATTCATTAATATAATATCAGCATTAAAATTACGTTTCGATAAAATTAGTTAATTAAATTAACACCTTAGGCGCAGGTTAGTCGATTTTCGATCTTCCTTTTGCAGACAGTCCCATAAGATTTCACTGATGATTCATGAAGGTTGTTGAAGGAATCAGGTTAAATTTGGTTTAAGCACTGAACTGTAACGTTATAGAACAACACTGGGTGAAGGACGGAGTTTTGGTCATTCCCATGAGCGAACTTCCACCGTATATCTCGTAATGCATCAAAGGTGACACCTCTACTAAAATGATCCTTATACCAAGCCGGTTTTCTCTCTATGAAATTTATTTTCATTATATATTATTATAATTAATTCAACATATTTATTGAGTCATCTGCAGAAATAGCATCATTAAAACTTTTTACTAAACCTCATTAACAAAAAAACAAAAAATTCTTAAAACCAACTTACATTAGCTCATAAACTCAATCTATTGAATTTGAATACTTTTGAAGTGGCTTTTACAGACTTAAATTACTAGAACTCTCCTATCTAAAGTGTAAATTATTTTTTTGGCTTAAAAATCTTAATATTCCTTTGAAATTTCAAAACTATATTACACTCGTGCAATCTTCAAGTTAAGTATTTGGAAATAATCTTACTTAAATAGTTGGTATCATCTATTATTAATATTTAAATTCTTGTATGATGATGACTCCAATTGTAAATGCATGAAATTATTGAAAATTAAATCAAATAATTATATTAGGTGATAGATTGGATTGTATATATTCATTTGTAAAGTCTACAATATTCAATATTATTTTGGATATCACCCTTTTTTTTAAATTAATTTATCTTGATAGACAAAGATTATATGATATATATCTTAGGAAAAATCAAGATCTATAGTGTTTCGATCTAAAATCTATTGATTTGACCTTATAAGTCACAAAATCTCTATAGAGAAGAAGAGAAGATATACGATTTCTTTATATTTTTGTTCAATTTATAGATAATTTATGTTGAAAATAGATGATAATTGATATTAAATGTAATATTCACTTCATAATTGTTGCAAAATGTATTTTTATTCTGCTGATACTTCTTGCAAAGCAAAAAAAAAAGACTTCTTTAGCTCAAAGAATGAATACCCTTCAGTGATAATCACAAAGAATTTATAGAAATGGAAAGAGCGTAATTATAACACTCTCTAATAGTGATTTAACTTTTTAATGAAATATTGGTAATTTTGTAAATTAGTATTTTATCTTTATTGGATGATGCAAATTCAATTTCAGGATTTATTAAAATACTAGTATTATAGCACTCAATAGCTTCATTATATTTATTTACATTTTATCTAACTCCAAGCCTATACAAAGTTTGTATTGTACCCTTGTTGTACAATGCAAATATCATTGTAAGAATTTATATAAATGGCTTCCTCAAAACACTCAATAGCTTTTGAATATTGGTTTAAATTGTATAATGTGGAGCCTAAATAACGGTATTTCAAGATTTTTAATAGCTTTGTCATAATTTCAAGAGCTATTTAATATTTATTTATGTAATGTAATGCATAACCTAAATAAGCTATCTTGATTGCCTTACGCTTATTATACCAAGAAATAAGAAATATAGTTCTAAGAATTAAAATTAATTTTTAATTAAAACTTACAAGAAAAAATAAATCAAAAAATCCAAGGAATTAATATCAAACATAAATCCTTTTTATCATTAATTCTGGAGTGTTTATAACATTCAAAATGTCAGAGTCATCTTTGAAATAGAAATAGAAATGAATATTTATTTTTAGCTTGATATATTATATAGTCTTATATCTTTCATATAGACTTAATCTTCTTTCTAACCAGCTCTTTACAGCATAATTATTGTCTCTAAAACTAGTTTGTTGCATTGAAAATATTCTTGCGAAAAAAAAGTTTTTAAATTAAAATAACAATTAATTAAACAGGTTTTACAATATTACCAAATCATAATTTAAGAGATGTTTATTATTCATGAATGATATGTGGGTTTAAATTTTTTCTTTTTCTAAAAATAGATGTTCTCAAAATTTTATCACCTTAATTTCAATTCTTGTAATATTTCAGTATAAATTTAAAAATAGAAAAATGCTATAGATTTACAGACATATGAAGGTTGATATTCTTGATATAATACAAAGCACCTCTTAAAACTCAATTGAATTAAATCTACATAGAATGATGTAAAATCATATTGATTGAAATAATCTTATTCAATATTAATTAATATTATGATGGGAATTTTTAAGTGCAGATATGAAAATCATGAAAACGAAGAAATAATAGGATTTTGTTTAAATCAGAATTGTAATAAACAAACTTAATATTGCTATTAATGTTTGATCTCGAATCATTTAGATCATTAAAATGATTGTATTCGACTTTCTGACATGAGCTAATTTATCAATTAATACATAGAAGTTTAAAAAGAATCTAATAGATAACTTAAAGAAATTATTACTTAACTTAAGAATTGTTTTGATTAGGTTGATAAATAGTTGTATCAAGAAATTGAAACATTAAAGCAAATGAATCAGAGACTTTAGAAATAATAGTATTTAGATTTTAAGTCAGAAATTTAGATAATCAAGCGATACAATAATAGAATTGAATATAATTCTTAATACAATAAAAAATATTGTACCAGTTTCAACAAATATCAATAATCGAGTGGCTATTCCAAAAAATACTAATATTAAAATTCAAGAAATCAGTGGAGAGAGTCAAGAAAGTTAAGAATAAATCAATCAATAAATATCAGAAGCTAAAGAGTTATTTGATAAAGGTATAATATACATTATACAACTAAATAGGCAAAGAACTATTTAAAAATAATAAATTTGAAGATGCATTGAATTTATTTAATATAGCAATTATATTATTTGATTAAGATGACAACATTTATTTTTGGAAAGGTAATATTTTAGGATTTATAATTAGGATTGGCATTAAAAAAATTAAATAAATATTATGAAGCTATTTAGTGTTACGACAAAGCTATATCTATCAATCCTAATAAATCTGATGCTTGGAACAATAAGGGTATCACATTTAAACTACCTATCTTTAGGTATCGCTTTACTTGTTTTCTTTGGTTTCTAAGTAATTTCAATTAATATAATGATGCAATAAAGTGTTACGAAAAAGCTATTTCTATAAATCCTAATCATTCTCATGCTTGGAACAATAAGGGTAATAATATTTGAATATTTTTCTTTAGGTTTTGCATTAATTGGTGTCAGAAATTATGAAGGAGGTATTGAGTGTTTCGAAAAAGCCATTTCCATAAATCCTAAACATTATAATGCGTGGAACAACAAGGGTATTGATAAATTGAATATATTGTATTAAGGTTCCGCATTAGATAAGTTAAACAAATACTCAGAAGCTATTGTATGTTACAATCAAGCAATTTATATAAATCCGACTAATCATGAGGCATTTGTAAATAAAGCTTTTGCTCTACATTAATTAAAGGAATATTAGAAAGCAGTAGAGTGTTATAATTAAGCTCTTAAAATTACATGTTCTCCTTTAATATTATAACGTTAAGGTAACAATCACCAATAAGATTAGCTGATTCACTATTCGAATTAGGAAATAAATCTAACGCTAAAGAGACTTATTTGGCTGCTTTACAATAAGGCTCACCAGAATAAGAATATATTTGGAAATAATTACAAAAATTATGAATATTCATTAATATAATATCAGCATTAAAATTACGTTTCGATAAAATTAGTTAATTAAATTATTTTATAGCNATCTAATAGATAACTTAAAGAAATTATTACTTAACTTAAGAATTGTTTTGATTAGGTTGATAAATAGTTGTATCAAGAAATTGAAACATTAAAGCAAATGAATCAGAGACTTTAGAAATAATAGTATTTAGATTTTAAGTCAGAAATTTAGATAATCAAGCGATACAATAATAGAATTGAATATAATTCTTAATACAATAAAAAATATTGTACCAGTTTCAACAAATATCAATAATCGAGTGGCTATTCCAAAAAATACTAATATTAAAATTCAAGAAATCAGTGGAGAGAGTCAAGAAAGTTAAGAATAAATCAATCAATAAATATCAGAAGCTAAAGAGTTATTTGATAAAGGTATAATATACATTATACAACTAAATAGGCAAAGAACTATTTAAAAATAATAAATTTGAAGATGCATTGAATTTATTTAATATAGCAATTATATTATTTGATTAAGATGACAACATTTATTTTTGGAAAGGTAATATTTTAGGATTTATAATTAGGATTGGCATTAAAAAAATTAAATAAATATTATGAAGCTATTTAGTGTTACGACAAAGCTATATCTATCAATCCTAATAAATCTGATGCTTGGAACAATAAGGGTATCACATTTAAACTACCTATCTTTAGGTATCGCTTTACTTGTTTTCTTTGGTTTCTAAGTAATTTCAATTAATATAATGATGCAATAAAGTGTTACGAAAAAGCTATTTCTATAAATCCTAATCATTCTCATGCTTGGAACAATAAGGGTAATAATATTTGAATATTTTTCTTTAGGTTTTGCATTAATTGGTGTCAGAAATTATGAAGGAGGTATTGAGTGTTTCGAAAAAGCCATTTCCATAAATCCTAAACATTATAATGCGTGGAACAACAAGGGTATTGATAAATTGAATATATTGTATTAAGGTTCCGCATTAGATAAGTTAAACAAATACTCAGAAGCTATTGTATGTTACAATCAAGCAATTTATATAAATCCGACTAATCATGAGGCATTTGTAAATAAAGCTTTTGCTCTACATTAATTAAAGGAATATTAGAAAGCAGTAGAGTGTTATAATTAAGCTCTTAAAATTACATGTTCTCCTTTAATATTATAACGTTAAGGTAACAATCACCAATAAGATTAGCTGATTCACTATTCGAATTAGGAAATAAATCTAACGCTAAAGAGACTTATTTGGCTGCTTTACAATAAGGCTCACCAGAATAAGAATATATTTGGAAATAATTACAAAAATTATGAATATTCATTAATATAATATCAGCATTAAAATTACGTTTCGATAAAATTAGTTAATTAAATTATTTTATAGCTTTTATTAATCGGGTTTCATTTATATAGAAGTTAATTCAATTTTTATAAATAAACAATTATACTACTTTTAAAGTAATCATTAATTATCATTCAACATGTATATTAATTGATATTAACACACATATACTAGCTAATTTTTTAACCTTTGTAATACATTTCTCTTGTCTCTTTTTAACGATTTTTTGTTTCCATTTTTTATCTCTTAATTGGATTAGAAATTCTGACTCAGATATGAAAGGATAAGTTACAATTATGGTATTTACAAATTTAGGGATATCATTTGAAAAATTATTCGAAAGATAATCAATATTGATTTAATCATATCTCTTGTTGTAAATTTCGATCATATTCAATGATGACATATCAATAATTTGTCTTAATTGCATTCTATAAATTGTTTATTAGTGGCTCTTAAAATTAAGAACTAAAAATTGGGTATTAAAGAGTAAGTAATTTGTTAGGATGCATTTTTGGAAGAACTACTATTTTTAAAACTGCCTTTGTAAGTTTTTTCTAGCTGATTATAGATATTTTATTATTTTGAAGAAGGTATTGAATTTACGAATAGGAAATATGGAGACTAATATATGTCTACATAGCTAATATTTTTATTTCCAATAATATAATCTTGTGATATCCATTTTAGTTTCCATTTACCAGAATTTTTAGTTTATGAAAGATGCTATTATAATATTCTATTGTTGCCTACTAGTATTCCTAATTATTTTTATGCTTAAACTACAGGATAATAGTATCACTGATTGTTATGTGATTGTTCAAAATATTCAACACTGTTTTTATTAATTCTTAGATTATAGATTATTTTTTAATAGCGCATCTTTCAAGAACCTTTAAGTATTCATTAGAATCATTATGCTGAATAATTGGGGCTATGTCATCAGCAGATTAACGACCAAGTTATTATTAGATTACTATAAATAAACTTAATTAGTAGTAGGCTCCTTATAGTATAGTATCCATTAGAATATGAGGGAGGAAGCATAATTCTAAAAATTTGGATAAAGCTCAATACAGTGATTGGTCTAAATTATGTTCTAGTAGGGATTTGAGGAAAAGCCTTATTTAAAGGTATTTGTCTAGCCTAACAGCATTTGGGTTAGATTCCAAAGTTGAGTTTACCAGATGTCATATAATAAGCTGTAATTTTTGGTTGATTTCAGGAAAATATTATAAAAATTCCCTCATAACCAACCTTATTGCTAGTAATGTTTTGTTAAGTCTCTAAAATATTTTCAATGTTTAGTGGGCCAAAGTTGGTAGGAGTATAGTTTTGTACTACTAGAAATCTAACCATGAAGAATTCAACAGTTAGAAATTGTTTCTTATCCAAAGTGGATAATTCCATTCTCAACTTTAAAGTAAGAAAAAATTCCATCTTCTTTTTTGTTAGGATTCAAAGCAATTTTAGTAATGATAAGTCAACCTTTTTCTTTTAGTTTTTTTAAAATGACATTGAAAAATTTTGGTTTACAGAAGCACAATTTCTAACTATCAAATTAGTTAAGCTTAAGAGCATGAGTTACGTATGATGAAAAATGAATTTAACATCAGTGATTCGGTAAATTTTCGTTATGACAACATTTAATTTTTATATCGTCATCATCTGAAACAAACTTAACTGTTTTGATAAAATAAAATCATTGTTATAATTTAATTAAAGTAGTATAACAAGGGAAATTTTGTGATTATACTCGACATATAGTAATAAATATAAAATTCGATATCATTTAATTTTAGGTCAAATTGATATTCTTTAAGTCAGTTAAGGAAATTAGATCATCTATTATTTATTTGAGATGAACTCAGATGCAGTTATTATATAAGTGTTGCTCTTAAATGCTCAATGATTGCAAAGCACAATTAGTACCATTCAAAATTATTTAGTCCTATTTATGATTGTTGTTTTTCTTGTTTGTAAACTATTAAATTTTGGTTCACTCACTTTTATGCTAAAATTTATTGATAATAACCTATTCTCTAACCTTCCTCTAGATTAACTAACAAAATTTATTCGATTTTTGGAAATTTTGATATTATCAACTCATTAATTTCAGATGAGTAAACTTTAGCATCAATCAAAATAACTTATTTTTTCAAACACTCAACGATATAATCCCAAGTGCGAATGTTGCAAAGGAATGGAGAAGCAATAAGTTATACATCGTTATTATTCTTTAAATGAGAATAGCCAAAAAAAAAGCAAGAATCATTTAACGTTTATGAATGCTAACCACATCACGAATGCATATATTAATAAAATATATATCTTCATCTCTTCTCTGTTTCCCTTTTATTTGAGAACTGAAATGGTTTAAGAGAAGGACTCTTTTAGTTGAAAATAGCTTTAAATCATAGTATTATTTGATTTACTTTCTATACATTATATTAAATATTTAAGGGTTTTGTATAGAGGTAAAATACATCTTCATAGCTTCCATAAGTAAAATAGCGTTTCTTTTGGAATAATTTAAAAAAAATATTTAGAATAAAATTCGTTCTAATTAAGTATTTGCTGGCAAAAATCATCATTTTGCTCTATCAATTAATTATTAAGTAGTTCTTCACTAATATTAAGATGGTAGGAAGATGAAAGCACTTCAAATAAATTGTTTAGAAATTTTTAGGTAAATATTTAATGTCTATGATTTCATAATTTGATTATTTAACCCCTCAACTTAATCTCCAATATCAACTCTTAATTGGGTAAATGAGGATTCAAATTTTTCATTAAATTGAATAAAGTTCTAAGAAAGTTTATTCATCATCTCACTATAATAGTTATTCAGTTAAGATTGAAATATTAATCAGAAAAGTTTTTTGATTAATGATGAAGTTCTGTAAAAGCATTAATAATAAACTATGGATCAAAGCTATTCATTGACGAATATTAATTAAGATTTTTTCATATATTTGGACAACCAACAATTTATATTTTGTCTCTTCACCTATTAAAGTTGAAAATTGTAATTATAAATTATGCTTATTGATTTTGTTGAAGTAATCAAGAAAAGATGCAAAATGTTGATATTTTTTCAATAATTAAAGAACTATCCATTATTTAGAAAATAGAAATTTCTTCGAAAAATAATTTTTTTATAATTTATTTATTTATTCAATCTTCATCGTTATCCTTAATATACTTTTCACTTTGTGCAGGGGTGACTCTAGAGGGCTTTTATTTCTTAACTTCAAATATTTCTGCCATCTAATCAACTCGTTTCTATTTCCTTCAGTTTAATATAAAATTATATGTACATTTTTTCCAACACAAATGCGGTTATGGTGTTTCTAGATTATTGTATTGAACTTTCTCGTATTGATTTTCTTATAAATTACTATCTTTCCTTTGCCTGAGCTGGGCTTCTCAGACTCAAAGGTATTGTATCTATGTTTTATTCCATGTTTCTTTCTAGAGCAATTTACCACTAGTAGTTTTTAAAGGCTATAATTTCTTTCGCTTGAGGAATTAAAAATTATTTTAGTTTAGAGTACAATTTGGCTACTCTACTACGTTACTCGCTACGATCTGCTAATATTCTCCTCATAAAAGGAATTTTATTTAGAAAGGGGAATGTATTTCTGATGTTGTTCCTAACTTTGTCCACCTTTTCATCTAAATTACTGCTCTTCTCCCTCAAGTATTCAACTAAAATCTTAGATATTAATGTATATGTGATATGTAGATTCAAAATAGAAATCACTATAGCATAAGGAATTTGTATTTCTTTTGAATTTGATTATTCTGAGACATATATACCAATAGCTAAAGCGATTGAAGCTAAACAGACATTTGTTTAATAATAGTCTAATTTATTCAGATTATTCAGATTATAAGGTTTGTACCTCAGACTTAATTCTAAATACACTCCTATAATTAATGAAATGATAGTAGCTTTAATAATGACGCTGTCATCATAATACGTTAAAAATATGATCATTAATTCTTTCTGTAATATTTTGATCACTTCCCAAAAATAGGCTGTTTTAGTGTATTCATTATAAAGATAACCCCATTATAGTCTAACTTTCTTATCATCTAATTAGTGTGAATTACTGTAAAGACCATAAAAGAAATAAATTGGGATAAGAATAGCTAAAATCAAAAGCATAGGCAAACAAAGTTCAACCATCCAACTTACATGATAAGGAGTATCAAATCTCTAAGAAACATTGGATTGTACCCATTTATATCCTGATATTTCTCTGTATGATATCAGTTGAACAAATCCTCCAATTAAACTCGGCTATAAATAGATGTACATATAGATAAGTGTAGTTGTAATGACACTTCTATTATAAGTTATATTCTTAAATTTAACCGCAAGTAAATAACATAATAAAAAGAATGTAATATAAAGAAATGGCATAATTATTTACCAAACCATTCTAGCATATTGAATTTCAAATTTAAAAACATGAGATAAAAAGCAATCCAATGAATATGTCATAGTCTAAATTGGAGATCCAACTGAATTAATTGTACTTTGGAGTCCATTTGGTAATTTTAATTAAAATGTAGCTATTGAAGAAATGATCTACAAATAATTCGTCAGCATTTTAATTAATATTGCAGATTAATTTGTATTTTAAGTAACTGCTAATCCTAACAACATTATACTGATTATTCTAACAAATTCTTCTATAGCTTTTAAAGTACTTTGCACAGAAACCAATATAGAAACCAATGTCCTATAATTTTATTAATAAAATATACCATATACTAACGAAAGTTATAATTATCGCATTCTTCTCTTTCTCTAAGCATGATCCACAAGAATATTTCTAACTAATCGAATATTCGCCATCTCCCCTTGTATTATACAAATCGCATTATTCACATAGTGCTCCAATATGTCCTAGAAAACAAGAACTATCACCTTCCTCCCAACCACCTAAACAATTATCTTCTAAATTCAAACAATAGCTGACAATATTGCTTTGAAAATAAGGTCTCCAAAATCCAAATTTTAAATTTAATAACGCTGGTTAAACACTTACCGTTGAAATATCATCCTTCAATTCGCATTTTTCAGAATTTATGTTTAATGAAAAAAGCCCTTAATCGCTATTACATGGAATACACGAAAAATCAGTGCTATTTTTTATCTCACCATATTAACAACTCAAAGTCTTAATGTTCATCCTTAATTTGTAATTCGTATGAGAATTTACTAAATTATATGGGTATTATTCATTGTAGATAGGAATTACAATTGAATTGCATCTAAATTGTAATTATAAAACAATATCTGTTGGTAATGCATTGTCAAAATAAATTATCAAATCATCCAAATTATAATCTTAAGTTAAATCATTAAAATTTATCTTATTTATACTTGTTAGATTATTACTAAATATTTCATCATCCACCAAATTTGATGTATTTAAACATCTACTATCAATTTCACAAAATGAATTCTTCAGGCTTTTCATCACACTATTATCTTTGCTCAAAGCGATAACCCTAAATTTATAATCTAACTTAGTATAAGATCTATTTTCTTTAGAAAATTCTTAATAAGACGAAATCTTTTAACCACTTGGCAATAAAATATAAGATGTTTAAAGTATTTCACTCTGTTATAATTAAACTTATTCAACTAATTAATCTTATGTTTCTGTTGTAGTTATTGTTGATAATAAAGAATTTTCATCATTAAAAGTAACAGTTAATTTTTAAGGTATTGAAACCCTATCGTTTCCAAATTATTCAGCACTATTATTATCAAAAACAGTTCCAAGTTTAAAATAATCCATATCCTATTAATTAACCAAATATATCCCTCCTGCTATTTATGCTTAATTATGCTAAATTAAGCTACTTTTAATTAAGACGTCCTAATTCATTTTAATCACAATTGCACCACCAGTTCCGGATGCGTTATTGTATTGAAAAACAGAATTTTCTAATAAGACTTTTACATTTTCTACGAATAAACAAGTACCGTTTTAAGCCCTATTGAACTAGCAAATATAATTTTCAACATAAATTTCAAAATTCATGGATTACAAGTACATTTCTTAATTTGCAAGTAATCGACGGGCATTTGAGTTTTCTTTAGAAATAAACAAACATCCATTAAATCCGCATGAAGAATTTGTTACTTTCAGTTTAGAAATGTGTTATTTCATTAAGAGTTCTTCAACTTTCAAAAAAGATAAGTAGATCAATCCATTTTAACAAAATGTGCAATTTATTTATGTAAATAATATATTATCCAACTTAAATTATGATAAAGCTGTGAGTTCTTAGAATACTAGTATTCCAGACTATATATTTTCGATTATCAAATTCTTTGCTTACTGATTCTATTTAATTGTTTAATTTTAAATGCAATCTCCATAAGTAAGGTCTTAGTTAACATAATGTGAAAGTAAATTGAGTGGTGCCTTAGTATTTTGAGCATTTTAGAGACATTTAAAAAATTAAGTATAATCTTGATCAGTTTATTACTAGCAATTATAGCTCTTTAATTAGAAAGCAACAGTTATGTTTGAAATTATCAAACCATTCATCTGAATTGTGTTTGAGATATCTAAATTATATTATGATATTTACATTGGTTGGGTTGCAATCTCAAAAGTATATTGCTAATTATACTATTTGATATTTTAAAATTCTGAATTGACACTACCAAAGCATTGTTAATTTGTAATGCAGACTCTAACATCAGATGATCAATTTCTATATTTTATAAAACAACATTGCTTGCTGAATTAATATAAAATAAGGCTCTATTATTTAATATAGTTATTTCTTCTGTTTTTGAAAGTTGGGTATATTTATTTAAATAGCTTGTAAATCCCTCCTTGGTGTTTTAGATAAAAACTGAATTAATCTTAACAATTTATTGGATTTAAGAAGTAGAGGAGAATATTAAATATAAGATGGAACCAAGCTTAGAAAAAACATTTTGAATATTTAAGTGCTAAAATTGGATATTCACTTAAGGACAATCTGATTGAATGTAAATGAATCCTCCTTCTTCTTTAACAAATATGTTCTCAACAGATATCTCGTTAATAAAGACTTCAAGTGACTAAGCTGAAGTACTGTCTAAATATATCGCTCCTCCAAATCCTAAATCTTAAGTGAATGGAGTAGAGATATTCTTAAATATTGTTTATGAAATAGAAATAATGCTATTTTTTTAAGCTTCAATTTGCAGAGCTCCTCCAAAGAATCCCACTGATTACTCAAAATTACAAAATAAGACTTCCAAACTTTCAACTAATAATAACGCTACCCCAGAAGTAGATTTCACTTGAAATATTTAGTTTATTTCTTCATAATATACTTTCTCTAATTTTGAAAATCCCCATAATAAATAGGGTTAGATTAATTAATAATTAAAATAACTATTCTAATAAAATGTGCAATTTTCAAAAACTATTTTCTGACTTTTAATATAAATTATTGTGTCAGTTGCATTATAAACAGTATTCTTTATGAAATTTGAATTTTTTATATTGATAGTTCCTAAAATACAATTTAAATTTAAAAGCAAAGAAGAAATTTAAAGGTTATTTTGGACATATTCATGCAGAATGTTACCGAAAAAAGTAATATTCGATAATTCTATATTAGTTTATTAAACTGAGTCAACAAAGATAATAGCAGTTTAATATTTTGAATTTGATAATAATAATAAATTTGATTCTACAACTAAATTAGAAAAACGAATTGTTTCAAATTGTTATTATTTTACTTTGTCAGATGATTTATAATATAAAATGGGAGAGTTGTACGATTAAGCAAACTTAATTTCTAAATCAACTATCTCAAAATTAACAACAGAAGTAACAAAAAGAGATTGCAAATAATATTCGCCAATAACCTATTATAATTGACAATCAAGATATTGATGAAGTCCGAAAAATTTATAATCGTCACCTTAAGTAATTCTGCTAGAAGTTATTCTTAATGAAATAGCCTCAACAATACTGATATCTATTAATCCAATTCCTCGTATTATATCCATCTCTGAGATTGCTATATTATTCAAAGAAATGTAGATAAAACAGGAGCTATAAGTGTTTAATTTAAAATCTTCAGTAATGGATTTTATATAATTTTTTGATATCATTATAGTTTTAATTTAAATTCTTGAATTTTCATTATTATAATTATTAAATGATAGCAATTTGGTTGTTTGATCATATTCATTCTATTCAATGACGATATTTGATAACTAAATTTCTAGATTACTTAATTGAAGCTGGTCAGAATTTACAACTCCGAAACTTTGGTTTTTAAAGTTACAATTTTTAATGATAAGATCATCTATTCTATTATTATTATTCAGTATTATAAGAGTGGAAGATTAAATTATAGAACTTTTTACATTAATTCCTTAAAGTGTGACTTCTTTTAAAAGATAAAAATTTAAAAAAGCTTGACAGTCTTTTATATCTATTTATAGGATAAAATTTTGAATAAAAAGGGATCCAGATTATATTTATAGGCTTGTATCTATTAATGTTGAATTTGTGAATTTCGCATTAACTTACAAATCTACAATTTCTATAATATCATATTTGTTAACGTTAAAAAAGAATGTAATTTAGTTTAGAAGTATGGAATTAAGTATCTAAATAGATTTTAGCATTATTGATTTGACAAAAAGAGTTTCTGCAATGTAGATGAATTGGGCATTTTTTGTTTGCATAAGATCCAATACTTTGAAATTGATTAGAGTTAACTTCTTGATGTCATAAAATAAAATTCTTGATTAATCACTTTCTTAATTTAATTGTTGATATTCAATGGTGTCAAGTAGTATCGTTTAGGGTATTTTACTTTAAAATATTATTGATTTTAGTTTGTTATTATATAATGGTTAAAAGTGGCCACCTTTGATTGTTATTTTATTAAAATTATAGAATGTGATTGATCTTTCATACTCTATTATAGTGTTTTAATTTAGTAAGAGATTTAGTTCAACGTTTCTAAAATAAGTTTAATATATACATTGCTGAAAATATATTAGTACTAAAAACTTGTTAAATTATGGCGTTTCCTGAAATTCTGCATATTTGTGGTTTGACACTAACGATGTTTATAATGATTGTCTTAATTAACATTGAATTGGCTGATAAATAGAAATCATCATTTTCAAACTAAAATAATTACTTTTTAATACTTATTTAAAACTATTTCCTGAGGTAAGATCTTCTAACAGTATATTCTTTTATTGAAATTAAGCTTTTTGATAAGATGACTCCATTGAATTCAAAGCTGCTGTGTAATCTTACTAAGAACAATACAAATTTATAGGTATTGTCATCTGCTTTTCACAATTACTATTTGTGCACTAAATAAAACTTCCCAATTCTTAATCATAATAGTATTGTTAATCTTCAAAGCTTTTTAAACACTGATATGTATATGTATAGTAGTTATTATTATTAAAGAGAGGATTAATTGCTTAGATCTCTTCAGACGATCGAATTCTACATAATGCACAATTTTATGGGCAAGCAATACATTAATTATTAGATAAACTTAACCTCCTACCCTTTTATTCCAATTCACATCTAACACATTAATTCTCACCATTATTGTATTTACATTCCAAACATGAGTCTGGACATGCATTGATACACTTTTAATTCATCAATTAATAGCCATTAACACACATAGTACATATAACTTCATAATCTTCTTTATTTTCACTTTGAGAATTGAGTTTAAAGGGATGATTATTATCAAAATTAATAAATTTTTGGTAGAAGGCTCTGATTTTGATTTTCCAATAATCTTTTGAAAGTCGTTATTATTAGGCACAATTATAACAATTTAATTCAGGTGGACATTAATAACATTTACCTGATATTCTTTCAGCATAGTATCCACTCTTACATTCTAAACAAATGTGAACAATAGACCACAGTTATACCTTCTCCTTTAAACAAGTAGCACAATTTTCAATATATTAAGGACATTGCTCACTAAATTAAATGATGTCTGCTGTCGGATAATCATAATATGCTTGATTTATCAAACAATATTGTATTGATGTACAGATCAAGTTGTAACTATCGTCAAAAGCTATAGTTATCTATTCACCACTTGGAGTCGTATAGTATTCGGACTAGTTCAATTCATTGTAGATTGCATCATCTATGACAATGTCGCATATATGATCAACATAAGAAAAATTACATGTCACTTCTCTCATACTTAAACATATGTAAGAATTTATTATAACTCCATAACCATTATCGCATCTCCCACAAGTAGTAATAATATTATCCCAATCATCTCTAGGAGTAAAATACAGATCAAGAGTGTTAACTTAATAATTGTAATATAATGCCTAAAATGCATAAGCACAGTGATGGATAGTATTTACTTAGCAACTTATTCCATCAAATGTTAGATAATATTTTGAATCATCTACGCACCGATAACATTTTAAATAATATTTATTGATATTGACATCATAGTATTTTTAGCAAAACCCGCAGAAATTACCGCAAGGAAGACAACTACCATTGTCTAATGTGTAATGATCAATACAAGATAGACACTATGAAGTGTTATTTGCACCATTATAACTACAAGTCAAACAATTTTAAGGACACTAATAGTAATATCCATCATGTAGATACATCCCATCTTTGACTTGAAGACAACTTCCATTTAGTGATACTTGTAAACAATTAACATTACTGAATGTACAGTCTCCATTAGATTAATAGTAATTAGGCTTACATTTCACTTCAATAGTTTATCCTAAGTGCTAAATCTTTGCTTAAAAACAGTTTATAGAGTCTGATTCCAAATCACAAAAGTCAAGATAACCTGGATAAAGAGATAACTCTTTATTTTGATTAATCAGATAAAAATCATAATCTAATTGATCTCTATGTTGATATTTAAAAGCATCATCTCCTGCTAATTTATCAGATATTAAGTCATATTTACAGATAGGTTTTAAATACCAAGTCTATGGGTAATATACACAATCGACGCATAAAACGTCTTAGTAATTAGATTGTGGGCTACATATTTATACATATATGTATACCATTTTATACATTCATTGGAACCATTTTCATTAGGATATATAAAATATCCGAATTAACATTATGAAACTCCAAGATTTTACCCTTCTTGTTCTAAGACTGATGAAAATTGGTACTCAAATGATTAACACACTTTTTCATTTGGAATATCAATATATCCATGTAGACATTAACACTTTTTCTATTCATTCAAATAGTATCTCTTAGAATCAGCCTCACAACTTATACAATTATTTTCTAATGGTCCATCACATATAGAGCAAGAATAATGACAGGCTAGAATAGTAGATTCATTTTACCATTGAAAAGTAGTTGTTTATCATCAACATAATTGTATTCGAATTTAAAATCGAAGAGCGATGCTTATAATAATTCATTAATAAATTCATCAGATCCTATATAAACATAATATGGAGAATTAGTTGGAAGAGAAAGGTCATGAGACTACTCCTATAAATTAAGCTCATTATAGAATTGAATCTAAAACAAGCTTTTTCTTCCAGGTATTTGAGAACCATATTCATACTTCACAAAATGCCACTACTGTAATCCTGCAAAATAATATTCTGACCAGACATCAAACAATAGGTCTTGCATTACAGTTAAAATATTATAATCAATAAGCCCCATTATTGGTATTTGATGATTGTCCACATTGACGACAACCTATGTATATCTAGGTAACAACTTCTAAAACCACACCTGCAATAAGAATATTTCATCTCCGATGCTTTATCTATCAAAATAATTTTTAAAAAGACTGATTCTAATCAATGGGTATTTGGATAAATCAATAACTTTCGATGCATCATATTTCACCCATCCTGATAAACAGAACTTACTTCCAAATTAATTTATCGTGTACTAGAGAGAGGTATCCCCTTCAAAGATTTATAAGCCTTTTACAAAGTAAGTTACTTGTTCCCCTTGCATTTGAGGAGGAACTTAGCAATTATCATTCATGTATGAAAATATATCCTAACCGATAAAATCAACCTTGCTAACAAAGATTTTTGATAATCTTCCTTTGAAAATATTTAGATTTAGGCCCATGATCTAATTAGTTACATATATATATATTACATTTCCACTTCCTCCTTAAAATATTGAAATAAAGTCCTGTCCTACATTCATTGTCCCAATTTATGTTTCTTGATCAGTCATTTGAACAATGATTTTTCCAGAACTGAATTCAAAGGTTAGGAAGCTTAGAATCCATCTGCCTTCATAATTAAATGTTTAATACTCAAACAACAGAACTTACATGTTACTTCCTAAAATCATGATAGTATTGTAAACTCTTAAATTCAGTTAATCTATTCTAAAGAATCCGATCATTGAATTCCCAGAGCTTCCCTAAACTAAAAATAATAATTGTCCATATTCAGCATCTGTTACTATGTATTCTGCTTCCACTTATGGAATATTCTTAAAAGTTTATTAAGGAATACAAAGACTCCAAAATCCAAAACCAAATGTTTAACCAGCATCCAAAGTAACAAGAGAATCAAAGTAGTTAAAATCAACTGGTTACTCAAGAGGAATTAAAGCTTCCTCATATTCGCTATAGGGGCAACATTAGCATTTTGGAAGGTTAGCAAGAATGAAAATACAAGATATCAAAACAAGAAGTTTATCAGAGGTTTTCATTTTTTAATATGAAATATCGATTTTTAAATATTATATCAAGATATGCAAATACCAAATGTATAAATTTTATTATAGTACATTATATAAGAATAAGAACTCAGAAAATTTAAATCAATATATGTAAATTGTATTGGAAGTATACTCATATCCAAATTAAAATAAATCAAATCTATATTGTAAACATAGAAATCATCAGCACTTGAGTGCATTCAATTTTGTCTTTAAAATTGCAGAATATATAAACTCATAATTTCATCTCTTCTATGTTATCTCAAAATAGGACAAGTTAAATACTCATGACCAAATTAAAACATCCTACTCTATTGCGTTTTCATACATAATAAAATTAAATATTTTTCGTAATAATAGGTATCAAATTTGAAAATTTAGACCGGTTTCGATTTGCTAATAAAAATGATTACTTTTTATTGATATTCATTCACAGAATTCAATTCTTAAATATTTTTTTGAAGCAAACAATTTGTGGAGTGATTCTTCAAGCAAAACTCAGTCATTAAAATTCATTATATTTCAAGGAATTGAATAATTCAATCAATTAATTAATAATTATATTGAATTCTCTATTGAAATTAATTCCCATAAAGTTCATAATTAATTTCGAATATTAAACAATAAATATACATAATAATGAAAATTCCAATATTTTTTTTTTGTCATGATAATTTTACTTTCACTTATCTATTCCTGCAAATCTAATCATAAAATCATTTTTAATTTAATATTATTAATTCTACAATAAATGTAGTTCAAATGAGTGTTGCATTATTGATTTATCATGAAAACCGCAAACCAAACAAAAGTTCGAAATTCTAAATACTTAACTTTATGCTTTTTTAACTTAAAATTGATTTGATTCTGTCTCTTTCTTTCAGTAAACTTCAAATTATCATATAAAATTCATCAGAAGTTATGATAATTGATATTGAATTTGATAATTGAAATAAATATGTTCGAAATGTGATTAAATAAATATCTAAAATTTTATAATATTTATTTCTCAACATCATTTATTGTACNGACTCCAAAATCCAAAACCAAATGTTTAACCAGCATCCAAAGTAACAAGAGAATCAAAGTAGTTAAAATCAACTGGTTACTCAAGAGGAATTAAAGCTTCCTCATATTCGCTATAGGGGCAACATTAGCATTTTGGAAGGTTAGCAAGAATGAAAATACAAGATATCAAAACAAGAAGTTTATCAGAGGTTTTCATTTTTTAATATGAAATATCGATTTTTAAATATTATATCAAGATATGCAAATACCAAATGTATAAATTTTATTATAGTACATTATATAAGAATAAGAACTCAGAAAATTTAAATCAATATATGTAAATTGTATTGGAAGTATACTCATATCCAAATTAAAATAAATCAAATCTATATTGTAAACATAGAAATCATCAGCACTTGAGTGCATTCAATTTTGTCTTTAAAATTGCAGAATATATAAACTCATAATTTCATCTCTTCTATGTTATCTCAAAATAGGACAAGTTAAATACTCATGACCAAATTAAAACATCCTACTCTATTGCGTTTTCATACATAATAAAATTAAATATTTTTCGTAATAATAGGTATCAAATTTGAAAATTTAGACCGGTTTCGATTTGCTAATAAAAATGATTACTTTTTATTGATATTCATTCACAGAATTCAATTCTTAAATATTTTTTTGAAGCAAACAATTTGTGGAGTGATTCTTCAAGCAAAACTCAGTCATTAAAATTCATTATATTTCAAGGAATTGAATAATTCAATCAATTAATTAATAATTATATTGAATTCTCTATTGAAATTAATTCCCATAAAGTTCATAATTAATTTCGAATATTAAACAATAAATATACATAATAATGAAAATTCCAATATTTTTTTTTTGTCATGATAATTTTACTTTCACTTATCTATTCCTGCAAATCTAATCATAAAATCATTTTTAATTTAATATTATTAATTCTACAATAAATGTAGTTCAAATGAGTGTTGCATTATTGATTTATCATGAAAACCGCAAACCAAACAAAAGTTCGAAATTCTAAATACTTAACTTTATGCTTTTTTAACTTAAAATTGATTTGATTCTGTCTCTTTCTTTCAGTAAACTTCAAATTATCATATAAAATTCATCAGAAGTTATGATAATTGATATTGAATTTGATAATTGAAATAAATATGTTCGAAATGTGATTAAATAAATATCTAAAATTTTATAATATTTATTTCTCAACATCATTTATTGTACATATCCATGTAATCTTTGTAATATGGTTAAATAATTTTAACAAGTAGAAATTTCAATCATTTTTCAACACAAGTGTTTCAGCAAAAACTCTAAATCATTTTAAAATAAATTAATTTTCTTTTACTATTTCTAACAACCTTATTTAATTTTTGATGGAATTCACTCAAAAATTGGATTTATTGAAAAAGATATCCCTCTTAGATGAAGCAATATTCTATATTTTTCAGTTCTTCCTGATTCTGTCGAAAATTGATTCTCAGATGGAGAAATTATTGAATTGTAGCAAAGAAAACAGAAAAGATTATAAATTAAAATTTTGGAACATATAATATTTTATTATAAAATAATTATTTACTCAATGAGAATTAATTATAAATGAAAAATAATATATTAATTAGTTTTTCATTTTGAAAATAATGAAGCAAAAAAAGCAAAAAGCGTATAGAGAGAGCTAAGAAGGTAAGGTGAGTGATTTGATAAAGAAACTTGAGAGTAATTTGAAAGTGAATGAAAAGATTAACAGTATGATTCTCAAACTAGATAAACTAAAGCAGTAACTCACTACTCAAACATAGCCTTAACAAAATCTAAAAGAAACAATTGCATAATATGAAGTTGCTATATGTAATTATGAAGAAGAGAGAAGAATATAAAATCTTACATTAGAAGAAAGACAGATAATATTAGATAATATTAGAGCTGTGATTAATTCGATTGAAGTATTAGTTAATTACTATTTAGCCTTTACCTGCCCACAATCAGAATGAAAAGCAAATTCATAAAGATTTAAAGAATTTAAATAGAATAGAAGAACATTTTTTAATATTAAGAACAAAGTCAAGTGATGAATCGTTCATAGTTGAATCCTCAAAGATCATATGTTAAGTTGTTGAGAAGAAAAATAAAATAATTATGATGATCGATAAGACAGAAGAGGATAACTCTGGAGTGACTAATAAATTGCAACAATTGAAGATTCAGCATGATGATTCGTAAGCGGAGACGCCAACAATGCTACCTGATGAAATTCAAAATTTTGGTTTAATAAAAGATGAATAGTCTTAAAGAAAGTCAAAATAATCATTATAATTTATTGGAGAAATATAACAGTAATCCGAAAAGAATCTGAATTAATTTGAAACTCCTACAGCTGGTGGAGATTCTGAGTTCAGTGATGTTAAGTTAACTGATAACAGCATTGAGGGTAAATAAACAGTTGAATAGTAAACAAATGAAGGTTAATTCAAATAAGAATATATCTGCGAAGGAGAGAAATGTTAAATTTGCTTTGCAAAGAGAAGAAGATATGTGGCTATTCCTTGTGGACATTACATTTATTGCGAGGTGTGTAAATAATTGGTTGAATAAAAAATGAAATGTTTACTATGCCGACAAAATGTATGTCAAATGTTTGAAGTTTATGCATGATGATCTAATATATTTAATTAGTATTTTCTAACTTATTATTTTAATGTTGATAATGATTATTGTTGAAAATAATAATTACTTTTCATTTATTATCAACATTAACATTTCTATTAATCTGATTATGGGGGTTGCTGGTTTTCTGGTTTTATTTAAATGTTATTATTGCTACTTGATATTTCAACTATAATGAGAATATTATTTACTTTCTGTAGTTGGTTATTCAACATCTTGAATTGGACCTAAGAGTTTCAAGGCAAGATTTTTAAAGGTTTATTAGACATTGGTTCCCTCCTTAGCTGAGACTTCGTAGTAAAGTAAATCTTATTCTTTTGCAAGCTTCTCTCCTTCTTATGTTGATACAGCTCTTAAATTAAATTTTTCTTAACCTATCTTTAATGTCTATTTTATTCGCAATAAGCACTCCCACTACGTCAGAACCTCTTTCTTCTCTTACATAATCAAGCCATGATTTAATATCTGCAAATGACTATGCATCTTAAACTTATTTTAAAAATAATACTTGAAACATCATAACATAGGACAGCGGCATGCGAATCTCTTATATAAGATGGAATTAATGATCGAAATCGCTCCTAACCTGCAGTGTCCCATAATTACAATCTTACTGTTTTATTATCAACCTATATGCATTTAGAGAGAAAGTCGATTCCAATTGTAGGCTATTTATCAAAATTTGATGGATACTTGATGCTATTCAGGAATTTGTTCGTATACAAATCGGGCGATGATAGATGTCTTACCAACAGCCTGATTGCCAATAAATACAATTTTGAATTTGGCAAATGCTTTCGATTTGTTCGCAGAAGTGGACATTTATAATTAATTTATATTGTTAAATTCAAAATATGCTAAAATCTTTATTATTAGTACTCCTTTTAGCTTTGGTCACGTTATCGAAGCATATTGAAAATCAAATAATCGAATTAGATGAAGTCAATTACTAAGTAATAATTAAAGTAATTGATTCCTCTGGGTATGCTTTATCTGGAGTGATTGTTAATGCTAAGTACTTCTATTTATCAATTTAGGAATCTCAATACAATTATTGGAGAGAAAGATCAAATGACTGATGGCGCAGGGATTGTGACTTTTACTGGAAAAATCACAAAACAAACTTCTTATCAAATTACAGCAATTGCATCAACTACTTTTAACGACATCACAACTTCAGGTAAAATAGACGGGGTTGTAGATTCAAAAGGCACAATTGTTTTTAATGGCAAATTACAATTCACATAATCAAATGTTTAAGTTCAAGATGTGTTTTAACGAGGATTAATAATAGTAAATATCAAACTTAATTTCAGTTAAAAACCCAATCAAACTCCAAACCTCTCCCTGGTGTAAATGTAAAGTTTACAGCCATTTACTCAGAAAATAAACAAACAAAAGAAATAAATTTCAAAGCAACAACGGATGAAAAAGGTGAAGAGTACGTCAGATTTTTATTGCCTTCCCAAAAGCCTGCTTTTATTATCCTCTACACCGCTTCAAAAAATGAATATTGGAATACTTTATAAATGAACCATAATGCTCAAGAATTTGCATTATCTCCGTAATTATTTTAACTATATTTAATCTAGTGTGAAGAAATATGAACTACCAATAACAATAAATTTGGATCCTGGTTAATTCAAGTTTATATTAACAGCACTAGTTTAAGATCAAACAAATAAGCCATTGACAGGAGCTAAATTATAAATAGGAGGAATGAACTTGGGTTCTAATACAGAACTAGAAGCACTCAATGCAGCAAGTGGAACAGATGGAAAGATCAGTCTCACTTTACCTCTCAAAGCAACTGATAAGATTCATGTGAAGGAATAAATCACAAAGGATGAATATATTGGACAGAGTAAAGAATTTGATGAATTGTTTGATTTAAATGTCAAAAAGGATCAATTCACTCATGATCTAGGAATAATTATATTATAAGAAGCATCTGGAGATCTATAAGTAATATACAAATATATAATAGATTTCTGGAATAATTACTGATTCATCAAAGTAGGTTCAGTTTGTACAAGGAGCAACAATTGTATTTACAATTTTAGACAGCATATAACCAGTATCAGCCACTACGGATGCTCAGGGTAAATTTAAGGCTGAAATCTATGTACCTGCCAATAAAGATTTGCAATTAAAAGCCACAGTCACCGCTAAAGGTTTTATCAATAAAGTGGCTGCTCCTAGACAAATTAATGTGTCTTCGAAACAACCTTTATAGATAACTTTTGATGTAGTTCTGGATAGAACAATAAAAAATATTAAAATAAAAGATAAACTCGTTGATCCAAGTGGGAAACCTGTTTAAAATGCAATTGTTAAAATTGTTGAGAGTAACCCAACCATGCCTGATAAAACTCTATATAATAAGGAGATAATTGATAATGCAGAGTAAATACATTTAATTTATAAATAGTGGTTCATTCGAATATCCATTTAGTTGTTATGAAGATATAAAGTTTTAAGCAACCTTTGTATTTCAAGTGCCTTAATTTGTGCCTGTAACATATAAAACAGGAGATTTAGAGTGCAAAGATTAAGATTTAGTGAAATATTCAATGACATTGTCAAAATAGACAGCAATACTCTTAATCAAAGGGTAAGTAATAGATGTAGACTAAAAACCAATGAAAGGAGTGGCTCTTAAATTCAAGTCAGACCCTGTATTAGATGTGCCGAATGCTAATTTAGTTACAGACGCGAATGGTAATTGGTAAGTTGAAAAATTAACTGTCATACCTACAACATAATATAAATTTACTATTGAATATACTAATGATGTTAAATAAGTAGTAGAAGTAGTATAGACATTTACTCCTACTATGGATAAGGAGTAGACATTCAATTTTCCAGTGATTGGATTTTAAAGATATGTTAAAGCTAAACTTGCTGGTAAGATAGCCCCTGTTGACGGCAAAGCAGGAATCCCATTACCTTTAGTTATTACATGTGATGGCAAAGGAAAAGATGGAAAACCAATTGTTATAGAAACTACCACAAAAGATGATGGATCATATTCAGTAGATATTGAAGCATTAGTGGGAGCAGATAAACCATTATCATGTGTTGTGACTAATGGTGGCACAGGTAGTGCTGCTTCACCTGTATAGCCCATAAAAGTTGAGGCAAAAGTATTTGCTCCAACTTGGACTAGTAATACCAACATTCCAGTTACTTATAATACCGTGGATATAGTATTAAAAGGAACTGTCAGTGATAAAACAAAGACAATTACAACTGTTGAAGGTGTAGATATTACTTTAATTATCACTCCTTAAGATGTTTACATTTAAAATCCAGGTAAGCATTTGCTTGAGTCATACATTCTAATGAAAAGACATTTCTAAAGTACATCTCAATCCATAATACAAACAAAATCTGGTAAAGATGGATCTTATGAATTTAAATTTAAAGCTGTTTAAGCATATCCATTAAAATTTGAGATTTAAGCAAAAAAAGATCCAATATTTACTCCATATGAAAAGAAAGGAATTGAAGAGAAATGTTTGAAATCAGAGACTCTAACTGAAGACATTGAAATAGACAGAGTTAGGATGCTGACAAAATTACACTCAATTTTAAGTGGTACTGATAAAAAGCCAATAATTAATGCATCTGTTAAAATGACTACATCTGACCCAATTATGAAAGATTCTAAATATTACAATTTACCAGTAAAAGATGACGATAAAGGATCCTTCTTTTTAGATTTCGAGTGCTATAAAGATTTTGACTACGTAGTTGATTTACAGATAGATGTACCTCAGTATGTGCAATAAAACATAAAGAGTTCCAAATTTAAATGTTCACAAGCATTAACAGAATTAAGTCCTATATCTTTAACTTTGGAGAAAATATAAATTAAAGCCATTCTTTCAGGTAAAGTAATTGATCCTTCTGGAAATGGAGTACCTAATTTAGCATTGAGCATCACTACAGATCCAGAAAGTGCAACTCTAGAAACTAAGACATTAACAGATGGAACATGGACAGTGACTGATTCCAAGATCTATCCAAATACAGATTACAAAGCCATAATCACTTATGTAGACATCAATAAACAACAGTAAAAAATAGAATAAAAATTCACAATTTAAAGTGACAACTAAAAGGTTCAAATCACAGATATAAATTATTAAGCTATTGTTAATGCCAAAATATAAGGAAAGATTGATTTAGAAAAAGGAACTTTAAGCTAACCAGTCAAAATCAATTTAACTTGTCCCAAATTTAAGGATGGTAAAGGAGTTGAAATCAATCAAGACTTCTCAACTGATAACAGTGGAAATTTTGATATTCCTTTACAAATATTGGCTAAACATGATGATAAAATAGAATGTATTCTTAAAACAAAAGATTCTCTATAAGAAACTACATAAAAAGTAGAATTAGTAGCTCCAAAGTTTTAAGTTTAAGGAGTTTCAATAAAAGCTAAATTGATTACTACTATTTTTACAATATTAGGTAAATTAGTAGATAATTCAAAAGTGGAAGATAAATTGCCCGGATTAAAAATTACATTAACCTTGAAACCATCAGACCCTATATCTAATTAACCTATTATTAGTAAAAGTATTAATGATGGAACTTATTCTTTAATTGTTGAAGTCGTAAGAGGTATAAATTATGAGGCTGCAATCAATATAGATGCATAACCTTAATTTAATGTTGTTAATGAAAAATTGTAATTACTAGGTAAAGAAGATAAATAAAGTATTACAAAAGACATCACTCTAATTAGATCTATTGTGGATTGTACTGTCAGTGGATAATTGGTGGATATGAATTAAAAACCAATTCCTAATTCCAAAATTGAAATTTTAAGTTCAGATCCCCAAATGACAAATGCGCAATTGTATAATAAATTTGCAACCGCTCCAAAAGGAGATTTCTAATTGCCATTTTAATGTTATAATTCTGTTTCAACAACTCTAAAAATGGATATGGAATCTGACGTATATCCTAAAACATCCTTATCACCATAAGTATTTACTTGTGGAGAGAAAGACCTTAAACTTAAGCCTATAGTAGTATCTACAAAATCTGTTTAAATTACTGTTTCTGGTGTTTTGACAGATAGTAGTGGAGTAACCAAAAATGTATAAAATGCTCAAATAGAAATAATTCTTAATCCTGCTGATCCTTTAGCATCAAATTTGTAAACAAAGTCAGATCTAAATGGCAAATATTCCTTAAGTTTTGGTGCAGTCTAAGATTAGATATACACAGCTGTTATTTCTGTTACTAATTCCGACTTCAATCCATATAAATCTTCAAATATTCAGATTAAAGCTGATAAAGTATAAACTCTAACACATGATGCTACTATGGATAGAATCATACTGCAAGCAACCATTACTTCAACCATTGCAGATCCATCAGGTAAAACACCTCCAACATCTACTCTGACAGTTGAATCCTTATAACCTACAGTTAAAGGAACTGAAAAAACTTAAATAACTGGAAAAACAGATGCTGCTGGAAAATTCAATCTATAGGTCCCTTGTTATAAGAACGTAGATGAATCTTTTGTATTAGATGTTAAAGCTGATAAATACAAAGATGTAAAATCAGATAAGATTCAATTTTCATGTTCTGGTCCAGCAATATCTTTACCCCCAGTTAAAATTAAATATGAATTAGCACCTACTAACACTAAGTTAACTGTTGGAGGAGAAATCATTGGACCAAAGGGTAAAGGTCAATCAGGTGTGAATGTTAAACTAACTTCAGATCCTGTTACTAAAGATTTTGAAGCTAAAACTGGATCAGATGGTAAATGGTCTATTATAGATGATCAATTACAATTTGGTGCCAAATATCAATTGACTGAATCATTTAATGATGCTATTGGCTAAAATCATAAAGCTACATAATCCTTTTAAACAAATGATGAGAAATCTGAAATGACATTCCCTAAATAGTATTATGATGATTTTGTACCATGTGAAATTGATGGTAAAATAACAACTGAGGGAGGAATTTTCCCATCTAATGTTCCTGTTAGTTTATAATGCGATGCTTTTGGTGAAAATAAAGTACCTATTGATCTTAAAATAAATACAGATTCTACTGGAGCATATTCATTCAAATGGAAGATGCTCATGAATGCTAATTCTAATGTTGATTGTTTACTTATTTCACATGAAACTGCCAAATTTTAATAAACAAATAGTAGATTCAAAATAAATCCTAATAGTGATGTTATGAAGATCACCACTTAGGCTCAGGTGACAGAACAATTCAAAGCACAACTTACTAAATATTACCAATTTACTATAATAAATGGCGCTGCTATTGCTGAATTCGATTGCAACTCAAAATTAGAATGGAAAGGATTAGAGGGAGTTAATATTAGACTGAAGTAATGGAATGGAATTGAATATGCAGATCTTAAAATTGAAACAAAGAGTGACAAAGATGGTCTCTTTGTTATTAAACATTAAATCCTGAAAAGGTATTTATTTATATACATCCAATAGTTAAATTTAAAATGAGATGAGATTAGAATTTACTAAATAAAATTACATTCCAACTACAGCCGAGTTTAATCTTTATTCATTTGATCCTTAATCAGATGGATCATATCTTGTCTAATTATCCAATATAAGGATGGTCAAAATTGGCTTGGCAGACAAATGTCCATCAATTAAGAAAAATAAACATCATCAATGATATACTATAATATACAAATTGTTAATTGTTAACCTTCTTTAATAAGTTATTGTCATATGCATTAAAATTTATTATAATTGATCCTGAAATCAAACGTATAATTATGAATTGAAAAATAAGTCTTTTTTTATTTTAAAAAATAAATACTAAAAGATGAAATTATGAAGTAGAGTTATATATAATCCTTCTTGTTTGAATAGCGCTATTATTAGCAGTTTTACTTCTTCTATGCTTAATTAGTAATTTAATGATCTCCTATTCTTAAATATTTATATTTTTAAATCGACTTCAGAAGACATTTCAAATTCATTATTGAATAATGAGCTATTTATCAAAATCGAATTATTCTATCAGTGATTGATATAATTGTGTTTACGTTACATAAATTTTGATTTTGAATTATTACAGAATATTAAATACATTAAATTTCCGTCTATTTGATCAATAATTAATTGATTTGAAAATTTGCAATTTTTCATTAAGAAATATTTGCCAAATAAATTAATAATTCTTTAATTAAATAATAAAATGAATTTCGAAGACGATTATGTAAAACACTAAATGCAGAACATGAAAGGTGTAGTAAAGGTATTGATATCTCTAATTTTTAGAAAAAAGATAGACATCTAGTAGAAGAAAGTTTAAGAAAGGAGTATTGTGAATAAAACAATATCCAGTATATTCCTAAGGAATAACATAAGTAAGGAAAGGCAAATGAAAAATACACATATTAAGTAAAAGATAAAAATGAAGCTCGTGGATAATTGCGATAAGATGTTTAAAAATAATAAGATAATCAATAAGAAAAATAATAACAAAGTAAATAATAAAGGCAATAAAAATAAAATGAGTAAAGGGAATAAAGAGAGGAAGGAGATTAAAAAGATAATAATAAAAAAAGTAACAATTTTTAAAATAGGAAAAATAATAAATAATAACACCAAAAAGGTTAAGGTTAATAAGATAAATAATAACACAATGAAAAGTAGTAAAATGAAAAATAAGGAAATAATAATTAATAAAGACACCAGTCTCATAATAATAACTAACCATTTGTATATCCTTATACCGAAGGATAACAAAATAATGATCATAGGGAGGTGAATGATAACCATAACGACAAAGAAAGGAGAAATGATAAGAGTAATTAATAAAATAGGTAAAATACCACTAATAATAATAATAAAAATAGGAATAATAACAACTAAGAAAATAATAATCAATAAAGAAATTAGAATAATAAAAGTAATACTCATCAAACTGAACATATTCACTATAAATAAGTGAGAAGAGACAGAAGAGCTGAAAAACATATTAGGTCAGTTTAATCAGATCAGAATAAATAATTTAATAAAAAAAGATTCAATCATTATAAAAATAATAATTTTGATGATGATTACAATAGATTAGATGAGGAAAATTCATTTGAAGACGACTATTATTACAAAAAAGAAGAGAAAAATTAAAAATAAAATTATTAAAGAAGAGAGTATGATTAATATGGATTTGATAGAAAAAATAATAATGATAAAAGAAACAACAACAACAATAACAATAGAAATTGGAAAGGAGGAAGAAACAATAAAAAGAATAGGAAGAATTAAGATTTTGAAGAATATTGGACAGAAAAATAAATTGAAAAAGGAAAAGCTGAAAATGATATATTTGAAGGGATCTTCATAGCTAATGAATTTACCAGAGAAAAGGCTACTATTAAATGTCCTATATTTAAGAAGAAAGTACATATTAATTGTAAGATAATTATTCTAATTAATAGCTTTTATTGAAACAAATAGAGCATTTCACGGAGCTCTTGTTGCATTCAAAATTACAAAAATAAAAAAGACTGATGAAGAATCTGAGGATGATTTTGAAGAAGAGATCACTTAATAAATTCCATTAAAGAATAAAAAGAATGAAAACAAAAAGGAAATACAGTAGGAGATATCTGAAAAAGAAGAAAATAACGATGATTGGGAAGATGTTGATAGCCAATAAGAGGAAGAGGATGACATTTCGGAAGTATCAGATCTCTATGTTGTTAAAAAGGTCCCATTAACAAAACTTTAAAAATTACAAAAAGCTCAACTTGTAGGTAAGGTTGTAGGAGTGATAAAAAATCCATTATAAAATAGACACATAATTGGAAAGTTAAAATTTGATGAAAAATAAAAATCACAAGTTAAAGAAATAAAAACTAAAGAGGAATTAATAAATTATTTAGAATAGAATTATTATATCTCGTTTAAATGTGTTAATAAAAGAATTTCATTTTTCAATGTGAAGAATTTACTTACTTTTAATTATGAATTGGATAATTAAGAACCTGTATAAAAATTCATTGATTATGTTTCATAAAGATACTTTTCAGCGAAATTCATATCATGGGAAAAGAGAAGTCGATACCCATATGTTGAATTAATTAAAGAGGTAGGAGTATAAGGAAATATTGATGTGGAATGTGAGGCTATATTAATAGAGAATTCAGTTTATGACAATGAATTTTCAGAATCTTGTAAAGAAGAAATGAAGGCATTTACTCATGATTCTATAGCTAAGGAAAGAGAGAAGAGAATGGATTTAACAAAGGAATATATTTGTAGTATAGATCCTGTGACTGCCAGAGATTTGGATGATGCATTAAGTATTAATGATTTAGGAAATGGTATTTACGAAATTGGAGTACATATTGCTGATGTTTCTCACTTTGTCCTTCCTAACAGTGAAGTAGATAAGGAAGCAATACTAAGAACTACTTCTGTATATTTAGTTCATAAGGTAATTCCTATGTTACCTAGAATTCTGTGTGAAGAGCTTTGTTCATTGAATAGAGATGTTGAGAGATTAGCATTCTCTGTATTCTTTAAGATGACAAGTGAGGGAGAAGTGTTATGGGAAAGTTTTAGAGCTGCAAAATCAATTATTAAAAGTTGTGCATAGTTGAGTTATGATATTGTAAATTAACTAATTGTTGGTGAAATTCAACAGTTTAGTTAAGGAGAAGCAAGATATAAAGTTGCTGAAGGGTTTGATGAAAATGTATTGAAAGATAAGGTTTTGTTGTTAAATACAATTGCATAAAAGAGAAGAGAAAAAAGATTGGAAGGATCGTTAACTTTTGAAAAAAGCAAATTAAGATTTATTCTTAATTCTGATTTATTCCCCACCGGTTATACAGAAGAAAAGAGAGGGCTTGCTCAATTTATGGTAGAAGAATGGATGTTGTTGGCTAATTAATTTGTTGGCAAGAAGTTGATTTAATATGATACAAAAACAGCTGTCCTTAGATAACACATTTCACCTAAGAATGAAAAACTCGATTATTATCGAAAATTATTAGAAGCTTGTGGATTAGAAGAGATGGCTAAAAATTTGGATGTTTCAACGTCTAGAAATTTGAAATTAACAATGAATAAGGTTAATGAAATTGAATCTGAGGAAATTAAATTGGTTTTAGGGTTCCGTCTATTAAAATTAATGGAAGCAGCTCAATATTTCGTTGTTGATGAGACTCCAGAAAACGAATGGAGACATTATGCCTTAGATTTTGATGTATATACACATTTTACATCTCCAATAAGAAGATATCCTGATGTTTTGGTACATCGAAGATTATAAATTGCTCTTGAATAACAAGAGATTGATTAAACAGGAGAAACTAGGGATAAATTAAAGGCTATTATGTAACATTGCAATGACTGCAAATTAAATTCCAGAAGAGTAAGTGATTAATGCGATTAAGTATTTCTATTATATATTTTCTTAGTTATTCTTAGCTTTGCTCTTAAAGGCAAATCCAGTTGAAGTAGATGGATATATTCTCTCACTTAATAAACAATAAATTGAAGTTATCATTCCAAAATACAATTTAGAAAGAGTAAATCTAAATTTATATATATTATAGAAAGTTGAATTAAGGAATTTGAAGAATACCTATAAATTCACAGTAGAGGAAATTGGAGAGAACAAATTTGAGTTGATTGTTTCTTATAATGATCCTGATGATGAAAAGGGAGTTAGATTGTATTTTATCAAAGTAAATTATTTGAATATTTTAATAGTAATTTTAATAAGTAAAAATAAAATTATCAGGCACGGATACATTCCCAATAGAATATTAAATACAAATAATAATTAATAATAAAGTTTTAATTTGATTTGTATTTATATAAGTCACACCAGTATTTAATTATAAAAGAATAATAATATTTTATAATAAAAATGTAGCTATAAGTTAAATGTAACGAGTAATCATGGACATTCAGAAGACCATTGGCTGAACTCTCCATTTAGAAAATTGTGAGAAGACTTCCAATCAGAATTACTAACCTCCCTAATTAGTTCACACTTCAATATGAGGACTTTGACGGAGATATGATTGATGTCACATGTGATGCTGATTTACAAACCATTAGGGAATGTTAATTTGATACACAATTAGTCACATTGTAATTATATATTTACTAATTTAAGGTATGTACAACAAGTTCAAGAGGGAGGATTTAAGAAAGAAACAGGATGTAATAGAAGAGAATTAAGAAAAGAACATATTAAATAATTAGTGAGCCAACAGGTCATGGAACTAATCCCTGAGATTACCAAGTAGGTTAAACAATCAATGACTGTTAATGATGTTTAAAATAAAATTGAAACATAATCAATTAACAGCACAGCCTTGGTAGAGGTCAAAGAAGCTAAAAAAGTAGTCCACCAGGATGTGATGTGTGATGGTTGTAAAATGTTCCCCATTGAAGGTATCAGATACAAAGTAATTTTTTTCAAATTATAATTTATAGTGTGCCGTTTGCAGAGACTTTGATTTGTGCGAAAAATGTGAGGATCTTGGAAATCATGAACATGCTATGTTGAAGATTAGAAAACCAGAACAGGCTCCATCCATTATAGTGACAGCTATTGTATTTAATAATTTAAATATTAAGGGTGACAAATCAGATCTACCATAAGGAAATACCCTAAGAACCTAAATAGCTTAGTTGGTTTAGAAGGAACTTAACACTTCTATTCCATAATCCTTAGACATTTCATCAATTTAATAAGAATAATAAATCTTAAATACATCCACCAATCCAGTAGTTGTAGAATTATGCGAATTGTTGAGAATTAGACCAGAAGTAGCTTAGACTTTGATAGAATTGTTCCCAACTCAAAGCGCATAAGAAATAATGGAAATCGTAGGTGATGACTTAGAATATTTGAATTCCCTTCAAAGATCAACCGTCTGATATATTAATAATAATCATCCATTATACGACTATTTACGACCTCTTTATAGTAATTAATCCCTTTCAGCTCGTTCTGCTGCTAATTTCTCTTGTTTTTCTCTTTCCTCTTTGTCTTTTTTCTCCTTTGCCTATTTAAAATATAAATAAGAATACTAATAATAGATTCGTTTATTTAGTAGCAATTCCAATTTCTGTTTTCCTTTAGGCAAAGTTGTCTTGGAGCATTCCTCTAAATCTATTTATCTCTAAGGTTTATTGTGCATAAGCCTATTCTTCATCTTTCTCTTATTCTTGTCTTCTTCTTTTTTCTTCGATCTAATCGAGGATCCATTATTTTTATTGTTCTTTGTTGTATTTATTGCGAGAATCATATTCTAACGATATGAATTTAATCCTTACATACATCCTCACCATCAAATTCCTTCAGACCACTTACTCCTTATCTTTTTTACCAATCTGGATGTTTTCTAAAAAATGTTTCTTTAGTTCTTTTCATAAATTATATTAATAAATATCAATTTTTATCGTCGAATTGATCCTCTTAACATTCTCAGGGAATAATTAAAAACGATAAATGCCTTCTTTATTAATTTCTCAGTTTAATATTATTTAAATTAGAATCTAGCTTTAATATCACAATTACTCTGATTCACTTGTTTTATATAGCTGACATTCGACAATATTTTGATATTTACAGAATAGCAATATGCATAAATATATTAATACTAATGTAAACTGGGTATCCATAGTTCTCTTATTTCACTTAAATTATTATTTAATTCTGACTATCAATTTTAAATTGCTAAATTTATAATAGCATTAAATTGATATGATGATCTCCTTTAAATATTTATTATTAGAGATAGAATCAAAGAGGAAAAAAGTAAATTACTCTTTTTGATTTGTACTTAGTCTTATTATTTCAAATCATTTGATTATCATACATAGTTTGACATAGAACCTTTAGTTGCCTCTCTATCTTCTAAATCCGACACATTCTATTATACACTCAATGATCGATTTGGTCTTTGATTGATATTTTATTTTATATTATGGAATTTAACGATTTAATATTTCCCTCTCCTAAGCCTAGTTATGATTATACTCTTTCTGGTCTCTACTACATTGATGAAGAAATTCAGTATCACCGTAGTCGTTCCCTTATTCAATAAAATGAACTCAAAACATATGATGGCACTATCAAAGTCACACTCAATCAATCAGATTCAACAAGATAAATGAGTCAGAATAGATAAACAAAAAGAATAGTTACTCTCTTCTAACTTGAAGAGAATCTTAGAAATGGTATAATAGTCTATTTTCATGCCAATGCTGAAGACATCGGAATGTGTAAATCTCTTGCATATTTACTTGCTGCTGAATTGGAAGTATAAACAATAATACTATTAAGATGGCCTCCATCTGTATGGAGTATCCAGGATATGGAATATATCATGGACAATCATCTAGTGATACTATAATCAAAAATGCATATCAATTGATTGAGCATATCCTCAATAATCTTAAAGTCCATGAATCTAAAATTATTATTATGGGTAGATCCATAGGAACCAGCATTGCTGTTGAAATGAGTATTAGATACAAAAAAATAAGAACACTTGTATTATTAAGTCCATTTACATCTCTCTGTGATGTTATTAAAGAAAATAGTTTTAATTGGGTATCTAAACTAGTCAAAGAACGCTTTAGAAATCTTGAAAAAATGCATAAAGTACATTGTCCTACACTTTTTATTCATGGTATCAAAGACAAATTGATATCTTATTAACATTCTATTTAGTTGATGAGTAAGTGTAGTGGATTTACTCATTTACAATTATTTGAAGGAATGACACACAACTCATTTTTTATTGATTTACATATTATATCTCCAATCAGATAGTTTTTAATGAAAATTTAGTCATGATTAGTAAATATATATAAATATCATTAATCATTTTCACTTAATGCTCCTTCCTCTTCATCTATCTTTGTTAATAATCCACTTATTTAGTAATCCAGCAATTCCTTTAATTTTTCTTACATAAATTCATCCAAATCTAATAAATTAATTATTATTTTTACTATGTTCATGAGCAAATCTAGCTGCTAAGTCACATGATTAATCTCCTTCATAGACAACTATTCTTTCAGTCTTGCTTGGTCCCAAATTCACATCAACAAATAACAATGGTATTCTCTCATCTTATTCTATTAATCATATATGTATATTACAGCTACCAGTTCTAACAATGCTTTATTCTTCTTTTGGCTATGACTCATCCATATGGAAATTTTAAGATTGAAAAGTGTTCATTTATTAAGAGTCCTGTGATTACATACTTTTCTATCTAGATGATTGAGATGTCTATTTTAGTTGATTTTAAGATTCACTTCTACTATCCTTCTTTTATGAAATAGATTAAACTTATTATTATTAATTTTAAGGACCCTTATTACTTTTATACCCTCTCTCTAACATCCCTTATACTTCTTCTCTTCTTTATCTTGCTTATTTCATTCTTTGAACAGTTTTATCAACATCCTTATTTACATAATGATTATCCTATTTTTATTATTAGCTATTTTTAGATTATAAACCAGGTTAAAATGTGCATTCTTCTAATTGTTTTTCGTATTCAATCTCTTCAGTTGTTCTATCTCTTTTCTATGTAGCTGGTTTGGCTAATGAATATAATTATAGATATTTTTCTTATTTCTTAGATGAACTTTTTCTCTCTTCATTATTTTAATTATTCAATAATTGTGGCTTGAATGGACATTTATCTAATTATTATTACAATATTTCTTGCTTCTTTTGTTCCTTATGATATTCCACAGCTTTCTTCTATAAAACTAATAGATCGGCATGAGTAATCTATCCATTTTCAGGAATATTGACTTTAATCAATTAATTATCAATTAAAGTAGCAGTTTCCTCTAACAATTTCTCTCTATACTAACTGGCTAATTGTTTAGATTAAGGTAATATCTATGGTTTATAAGGATTTTCATCTTTCCAATTGGTTTTTTTGAGTTCTTCACAACCTAATCTATTTCTATATAATATATCAAATTGTTTTTATATCTTTTTTGTCTCTTCAAATGTAAATATTATATTTCCATCTTTGTCAATAGTTCCCAATTTGGGTCTATCATTAGGCTAATGAGCAGTAACAATCTTATGTTATTGAGGTTAAATGGATTTCTAATAATTTGGTAATTCCTCATTCTATGCTGATGGCAATTCTTTGATTTTGAAATCTGTAATTCCAATCAAAGTCAATAAAAACAAACAAAGATTTCTTTTGCTAATTCCTCCTAATTCATCACCTCTCAGCACTGTCCATATTTCACATAGTAAAGCTCTTTCCTCTGACAGCCTTAAATTCTCATATTCAACTGCTTTTTCATTATTTTCTTTAGCTTACAATTAATTAAGGAAACCTAATCTCTGAAGGATTTCCCCTAACTTTAGATAATCAATTGAAAAAGAGACATTTGAAGGTCTTTCTTGTCCTGTTTAATCAAATATCCAATCTATGACTGTCTCAAATTCTCGAATGAACTTTTAAGCTACTATTTTCTCACTATTATTTGAAGTATATTTAACATTTACTGTTACTACCTTAGGTGCATTCTATTTATCCTAGGTTTCCTTTTACTTTTGTAACCTTCTTTGTGCATCTTAATAAAGGATATCTTCAACCTTTTGATTTCGAACTATATTTGAGGATTTCTATTGAATTACAGGTTTGAAATCGACTGTTGATTCTGATTATTACATTTTTGGTTCGGAAGGTTTCTTTTGATTTAAATTATACAATCTTTCATAAGTAGGAATAGACTCATCTCGAGATTAAAAGTTAAAGTCATTAGTTTTTGGATGATAAGGGTGTTATAAATCTCGTTCCATATCATTTTATTTGATTTACTCTAATTTTTATTCTATTTTAAGAACGTGATTCTGTTAATCAAATAAAAATTAATAAAGTGACCTTTTTTCCTAACCGTCATTTAATGTTTAAGGAGCAAATGAACAAGGTCTCAATTCCTCTTATTCGTAGTAATCTTTTAACATTTGATTATTCTATTTAAAAATTTCCGCCTCCTAATTCAACCTCTCATATAATATTTCATTATTTGGTTAAGCCAAAATCTTTTTCTAAATCACCATTTTTGGCACATTACTATTTTAAGCTTTAAGAGGGAAATCATCTGGCTAATCGTCTCCCTTTAGTAGAGCTGGACATACTGTCATATGCTATTGTTTTGAGTTCATTTAATTTATCAGTTAAAAAATAAAATATATATTGTTTCTCATTGAAATATTTGATCATTTATCAAACTTTATTTTGATAGTCTTAGCTTTGCAGTCTAGAAACGGAATCATAATAGAGTTGAAAAATAATATTAGTGTAGATTGTTAAAGATCTTTAAAGTTGTTCTAGCTTTAATTCAGAATCTAAACATCATGTATTTATTCACATTATATTTCATCTCTGTAATGATTGGGGAAGATTAATCATACAAATTATAATTCATAATAATTCATTTCCATTATTAAACCATGTAACTAAGAATTTAGTTTTATTAAAGACTTATTTAGTGAATCTTTTCATTAATATGAATAATTTTCAATCTTTATAGGTAACAAAAAATGAATGAATAAATATAAGTGGATAGCTAAATTATCATATCAAGTTCTTATGAATCTGATTATTTTGATATTGATTGATGTCCTACCAATAAAGAATTATGAACTATTTGCAACTAAAGATTGAACTAGTTCGATTTATTCTATAAACTGTTGAAAGTATTCAAATAATATGATTAAAACAATAATTTAATTTAAATGTATGTTGCTTTCTTTTATACATGACTTTCATCATTTCCAATGATGAAATGTGATTCTGTTTTAACAATTTTCAACAATAGTTTATGAGTCAATTATACTACTAATAATTGATTTCCTTGATTCCTTCTTTTACTTTAGTTTATTAATTAAGAGATTGTTCAATTTGAGAAATAGATTTATTGATTTACTTATGCTAAAATTATATTAATTAGCTCAACTCTTTATTGGTTATATTATACTTACATATTATTTTCAATAAACCAACTATTTAAAGTCAGAAATTCTTGAATATTTACAAAATAATTAAAATTTGATTATAAAATATCTCAGAAAATCTCACAACTTTTGCAACATGGGGTATTGGTAACAGGATCAACTTAAGTTATTTCAACATTTTATCCTTAAACTTCTTCTGGTTATATTTTTGTAGCAGATGCATTACTTACAATTTAAAGTTCTTCTTCATGTTAATTTTTATTATTATTAACATCAGATTCAACTTTTTGAGTTTATTCTTAATTTTATTATTGTTTTTATTAATTATCTTGCTATTCAGGTGGTTTCTAAACTTCTTATTCAGGTTCCTGTTTAGAAATAAGGCGTTCATTTTATTAAATCTTTTAAGCTTAATCTTCCATCTCCTTACTCTCCTCAATAACATGTTGATGTTGATTTTATTAGAGATTTTAGTCATTTTGATTTTATTCAATTTACTACTGCTATTGGTCCTCCTAAACTAGAGATTAATGATTTTAATCATTTTCTTTCTATTGATCTTAATCATTCAATTCCTATTTTTAAGGTTAATCCTCTTCCTAATGGTTCTGTTAAATGGTTTATCCAAATTCAGCTGATTTCTTTTGTTCAAAGTTATACAATTATTTTTGGGTTTCAAAAAAGTCATTGACATTATTTTCGACATTATCATAAGGATCCTCATTTTGATGAATCTATTTTTCCTCATTTCTAATAGGAATAAACTGATCAATTTGCTATTTTTACTTTGGAACAGTTCTTCCATCAATTAAATCTAAATTATAAGGGGGCCTATTTAAATGAGATATAGATACCAGTATGTAGTTTGGTTGGGTTAAGTTCCACCATATTTTTATTCTAATTGATTTGGATCAATAATTTACTGTAATTTCATAAACTCTTTCTTTTATAAAAAATTAATTTTTTCTGCAGTTTCAGGATCCAAAAAACTTGATATTGTTTTCCACAAAAAGCTCAAACCTGAAGATGGATTTAAAATGAACATCTTTTCCAAACAACCACCAAAGTTTGTGCTCATTGTATCTATTACCACTTATAATGCTTTTGTTGGCAAACCAAAAACTCCCAAGCCATTACTTTCTAATAAGAATATCCAATTTTCAACTTTGCCAGGAATGAACATATGTTTTTTAATTATTCCCATCTAAAATGACAATGCCTAAATTATCGTTTCTTTATCATACTATATAAATATAGTTGGAATGATACTTTCTTTAAATCAATCAGATGAGCATTCAAAATAACAATGGGACGATATTGTTTATCTCTTCCAAAGATGTAACAGATGCCATCCTTGAGAAATTTTTCAGTTGCTGGATTAATTTAATGATATATTGGATTGGCTCTCCAAGATATATGCAATTACAATTTCTAGAGGAATAATGGTTTCATTATTTACTTTAATAACTTCTTTCATTTTGAAACGACCTGAGTAGCCAATTTTTAAATAATCACTCTCTTTCCAACTGATTTATAAAACAATATGCTTACTCTGATGGAAGCTATATATTTAATTTTTAGATTTCTATTTTGAGTTCTTTAATCTTTTCTTGTTCAAAGGAATCGTAAGGAACACAATCGTAAATTTTACGAGCTCCTTTTTCTCTTTCGTGATGTTTAATATAATAATCTAAGTATTGTATAATGGTTCTGAGTACCTGTGTGTTAAACTGAATGAGCCCCCAAAGGAGGAGCTAAATATGAATAGTCAATGCTCATAATATATATATATAAACTTATAATTAAAATCTGATAAAATTTGAAATGAGATAATCATAAAATAACAATAAACTTAATATATATATATATACTCTATTTCATAAATCTGCTTTTTTCTCTTTTTCTCGTTAGGATTCGTATCCAAAAATGGATCTTACATTGATGAGGTACTCTCTGTGATCAATTCTAGTATGATGAACTTCTGGGAGTTTAGCTAAGAGAGCATCTGCATCAAAGTGACCAGCCCTTAAGTCAGAGAGTAAACGATAAAGTCTTTCGTGATTGCTCTAGAATAATGATGATTGAATATACTCTGATTGTCTAAACGATAACATTTCTGATGGGTAATTCAGCTGTCTTGATAGCATTTTTCACCATATCGAGGGACAATAACATTTTACTAAAATATTGGACAATCAAATTCACATCCAAGGACACATTATCATAATCAAATTCAACTCCTGAACATCTGAAACGAGTTGGATCGATGTCAAAGATTATTGACGCAGTTAAACTATAAATCATAGTATTTCGAATTACTTCTCTATTTTTACAGGGATGGTATAGGAATCTTCAACAATGATGTCTAGATTAACTGTGGGGAGATTGATTTCAAGGACGTCGTGATCTACATCAAAATTCAACTATTCTAATAGATGTAAGGAATTACACTCATCTTTTCGAAACCATGGATTTTAAACTTGGTTATCCAATAATCGAATGCCAGTTTCATGTTTCCTATGTGATCCAGACCTTCTGCGGAGATGGCATCAAATTGTTATGTGAATCCGATAACAAATTTGTTTATCAATTCTTAAGCTTGCTGACGATGTGCTTTATCGATGAAGTAAGCCTAAGTTGAGTTCAACAATAAGAGAATTGTACATAAGGCAACTAGACGTGTCATTTTTAATAAAATTATTATTTCTGGAAGTTTCCTTATGTACATTCCACATGAGAATATTAATTTGATTATCAAATATTATATTATGACTAATAAATTTGTTTCTCATTCGATTTTGACATCCAAAGATGGACTAGAATTTTAGGAAGTAAAGAGGGATCAACCAATTCAAGTTTAAGAGAAGAAGTTATCCTTCATGACACTCTCAGAATAAATTGTCGAATAAGAAAAACTAGATCAATTGCTGAGACCAGAAGTAACCAAAATGCAAAGGAAAAAACAAACCAAACCCAACATTTATGAAAAGACCAAACCTTTAACAGATGAAGGTATTTAAAATCAACATTAACTATTGTAGATAACCTAGAGTATGTTGAAGAGAGTGGATTTAAATAGGAAATATTTAACGAGGAAGATTTCGACTTTTTTTAATATTATGGTTAGTTAAGGGAAATAGAAAATCGAAAAATAAAAATTGAAAGAGAACATATTAAGCAATTCAAATAAAGACGATCTGAATTAACCATTGATAGCACACCTTAAATTGTTGTTTAAAAGGAGGCTCAAACATCCGATAAAGTCTACTCTGTGGGTTCAATCAAAGTGGTCAAGTTAAAGATCAAGCCTCCTTAGTTTTTAGAGGATCTGAATCATGATAATAATAAGGAAGAAACTAAAAATGTTGACAAAGAAGAAAACAATTAATAAATCAAAAATCCAAATCAAAAGAGTTTCAAACCACTTGTGAGTGATGACGATGATAATATACCAGAGCCACCTGTATAGAAGAAGACAAAACTTGTAGAGTATGATTCCGAATGAACCAATATTTATATTATAATAATGATAATTAAACCAACCATTTAAATACCAAACCACATAGTAAATATCGTTGTCGGCCATACTAAGCCTAAAGCACCGGATCCCATTCGAACTCCGAAGTTAAGCGGCTTAAGGCGAGGTTAGTACTAAGGTGGGGGACCGCTTGGGAAGTCCTCGTGTTGACAACCCTTTTTTTTAATTAAATTAATTTTAATTATTGATTATTTTTCAATTTAATTCTTTATTAAAACATGAACAATAATGACTTGTTTATACTTCATTTTAATGATGTTTACGATATCCAAGAATAAGTAAAAGATCCTGTAGCAGGTGCTTCTAGATTCGTGCATGTCCTCAATTAATTGTAACAACATTTCAACACCCTCACTCTTTTTAGTGGTGACATTTTTGCACCATCTGCCTTATCAAATATATATAGGGGTATTATAAGATCTATTTCGTAGGTGATCAAATGTTGTTTCCAATCCAATAATTCAAAATTGATGTGGCATGTCCAGGAAATCATGATTTTGATTATACACTAGACCATGTTGAATCATTATTTTAAAGATCCAACATCCCTTGGGTTTTATCTAATGTTTTTAATGCGGAAACCAATCAAAACTTTGCTCATACATTACCTCATTTTACGAAACAATGCACTATTGGAAGTCAACCTATTAAAATTGGATTTGTAGGTTTGGCTGAGGAAGAATGGCTTGGGTAGATAGTTGAAATCCCTTAGAATCTAATTGCCTATGAAGATTACCTTCATTGCGCAGAGAGAACAGTCAAATATTTAAGAGAGGAGGAAAAGTGTGGATTCATTATAGCATTGACTCACATGCGAGTTCCTAATGATCATAATCTGATTCATCATCTTGTTGGTTAGAAAATTGATTTGGTGTTGGGTGGACATGATCATATGATATATTGTGAGAAAATTAAATAGAGTCTATTTCTGAAGAGTGGAACNATATTATGGTTAGTTAAGGGAAATAGAAAATCGAAAAATAAAAATTGAAAGAGAACATATTAAGCAATTCAAATAAAGACGATCTGAATTAACCATTGATAGCACACCTTAAATTGTTGTTTAAAAGGAGGCTCAAACATCCGATAAAGTCTACTCTGTGGGTTCAATCAAAGTGGTCAAGTTAAAGATCAAGCCTCCTTAGTTTTTAGAGGATCTGAATCATGATAATAATAAGGAAGAAACTAAAAATGTTGACAAAGAAGAAAACAATTAATAAATCAAAAATCCAAATCAAAAGAGTTTCAAACCACTTGTGAGTGATGACGATGATAATATACCAGAGCCACCTGTATAGAAGAAGACAAAACTTGTAGAGTATGATTCCGAATGAACCAATATTTATATTATAATAATGATAATTAAACCAACCATTTAAATACCAAACCACATAGTAAATATCGTTGTCGGCCATACTAAGCCTAAAGCACCGGATCCCATTCGAACTCCGAAGTTAAGCGGCTTAAGGCGAGGTTAGTACTAAGGTGGGGGACCGCTTGGGAAGTCCTCGTGTTGACAACCCTTTTTTTTAATTAAATTAATTTTAATTATTGATTATTTTTCAATTTAATTCTTTATTAAAACATGAACAATAATGACTTGTTTATACTTCATTTTAATGATGTTTACGATATCCAAGAATAAGTAAAAGATCCTGTAGCAGGTGCTTCTAGATTCGTGCATGTCCTCAATTAATTGTAACAACATTTCAACACCCTCACTCTTTTTAGTGGTGACATTTTTGCACCATCTGCCTTATCAAATATATATAGGGGTATTATAAGATCTATTTCGTAGGTGATCAAATGTTGTTTCCAATCCAATAATTCAAAATTGATGTGGCATGTCCAGGAAATCATGATTTTGATTATACACTAGACCATGTTGAATCATTATTTTAAAGATCCAACATCCCTTGGGTTTTATCTAATGTTTTTAATGCGGAAACCAATCAAAACTTTGCTCATACATTACCTCATTTTACGAAACAATGCACTATTGGAAGTCAACCTATTAAAATTGGATTTGTAGGTTTGGCTGAGGAAGAATGGCTTGGGTAGATAGTTGAAATCCCTTAGAATCTAATTGCCTATGAAGATTACCTTCATTGCGCAGAGAGAACAGTCAAATATTTAAGAGAGGAGGAAAAGTGTGGATTCATTATAGCATTGACTCACATGCGAGTTCCTAATGATCATAATCTGATTCATCATCTTGTTGGTTAGAAAATTGATTTGGTGTTGGGTGGACATGATCATATGATATATTGTGAGAAAATTAAATAGAGTCTATTTCTGAAGAGTGGAACTAATTTTAAGAATTTAGGTATCATTAGAATTAGTTTAAACGAAATTACAAATAAAGATTTAATAAACAATTTCATTAATGATAATTTTTCTAATGATAAACAAATATTAGAATTACAACATGATTTGGCTTTGAATTAAGACTTTCATATCTAGGTTTCCATTATTAATATCATCAATTCAATACCATAAAACTAAGAGATGAGACTTTATGTAGATTCTAAAATCGAAGAATACAACAATTGTATTTAACTATTAATATCATTAAATAGAAAAAGCTAAAATTGTCTGCTATGCTAATTGTGATCTTGAGTGCACCTTCCATGAAGTCAGAAACAAAGAAACCAATTTAGCCAATCTCTATGCGGATATCTTAAGGTATGAGTTAGATGCTGAAATCTCGTTCTTTAACAGTGGCACTCTTAGGGCTGATGATGTTATTCATAAGGGAATTATTACTTACAAAGAATTAGATAAGATATTCCCTATGCCAGACTAAATAGTCAAGATATATATCAAAGGGTCAGACTTGCTTAAAATTCTGGAGAATGGGTAAAATATATATTTATATCAAAGAGTTGGAAAGTGGCCTAATTTCGATGGAAGATTCTTGGGGGTTTCTGGTATCTCTTTCGTATTTAACCCAAATCAACCCTAAGGATCAAGGATTGTTAATGTCAAAATAAATGGGAAAGATCTAGAAATGGATAGAGTATACAAGGCTGCCAGTCAGTGTTATATTACAATGGGTTTTGATGGATTCATCAAGATACAAGATGATCAATACATTATTGATAAAAATGCAGAGGTCTAAATTCTATCGACAGTTTTAAGGGTCTTGGACATTTGTAGATATCATGAGGAACTACAATTGTTGAATATACAAGAAAATGAAATCAAGACTCTTGAACAATTGGATTTATAAAATCATCAAATTCATCATTTTAATAAGATTATCAGGGGATTAACAAAAATAGGCGGAGAAGTCTATCCAGTCATAGATCCTTAAATTGAAGGTAGGATTATTAAAATATGAAATGATTTTGTGTTGATTTAAATATAATATTTTAATTTGTTTTGCAAATACACACTAGTTACATAATCAATCCTTTCCCCAAAATTTTCTAAATATAGTTAGGTAAGTGGATTTGATTGCTTCATCCTAGTATACAATATAAATTTTACATCGTAATGGTAGAAATAATTGATGATACCCATAGCAAGACCGAATAAGAACAATTCCCAGCCTTTAATATTGGATACGTATCCTCTCTTTTTTAATAATCTCCATGCAGTTTCTAATGATTTTGGGAATATAAATAATGCTATTTCCTGCCTCCTGCCTTCAGATTCTAAGAAAAGTGCTGAACAAGCTGCTGATGCTGCAAGGGCAGGATTCCAACCTAAAGATCTTAATTATTTTTTACCATCTACTTTTTATCGAATGTTTTTCAGCTTACATAAGACATATTTGCAAATAGCAACGTAAAGAGATACAAATAAAACTGATTTGCCATAATTATAAAATGCTACTGAAATAGTCTTCACGGGTCTTAATAAATTGACTGATTTTCTACCTTTACATAACTCTCTTCCTTTTGAAGATGAGAAATGGAATTAGATGTATCGGAATATAGTATTTGTACGATTTTGGAATTAATTAAAGCAGTCTTAAGAAAGAAGCATACAAGCATGTTCCATCATGAAAATCATTACATTCCACTATGCCCAGATCATTAATAATACGCTCTTAGAATTCTTTCGATAAACCTCTATTATTAATGGACATAGAAATTAATATAATACTATTTTAATTAATTCAATAAATAAGACTGAATCACAACAGAAACACATAATTATATCTCAAATTATCAGTAAGTCATAACACAAAATCTTAATATGTATATAATTTAAATGTTTTTATTAATTTGTATACTTTTATTCTAATTTATTTCATGATTCATAAAGAAATCCCTTTTAAAGAAACTCTGAAAAGTTCAGTACCCATTCTAAAACCAAAGTTCAGTTCAATTCATAGAACACAAAATGACGAAGAAATCAATGAAAATATTGAAAATTCAGAACATCAATTAGAACTCTTCAGATCATTAACTACTAAAAATGTGATTAATGTAATCAGAGTTTAAACTGTCAATGATCGATGGATTGGTATTTAGCTTAAAGATCCTTATGTAACTTGTGGATGGTTACTGTCAGAAGTCATAAGGAAATTTAGTTAATTAGAATTAAACTATGATCCATTTAATATTGTAGGATTCAAAACCAACAACATTCATCTGGATTATCAGCTAAGTTGTTTACACCTTTTGCTACCTAACTTAAATGGAGTTCTCCTAATTCCACAACTACGTCAAGGATTGAAAGAACCTATCAATATAGACTGGTTTGAAATAATAAAGAAAATAGGGGCTGGCAGCTTTTCTGTTGTTTATTTAGTTAGAAATAAAGAAAATGGATAGTTTTATGCTATGAAGGTTACTGACAAATAATTAATGGCAGAAAATGAGAAGGAAGACTTAGTTAACAAGGAAAGATAGATTCTTACTAAATTAAATCACAAAAGGATAATTACTTTACATGCTGCTTTCTAATCAGTATGATATTTAATTAACCTCGTAGAAATCCAAGCTATACTTTATTTTTGATTATTGTCCAGGTGGAGAATTGTATTATCATTTGAGAAACCAAAAAAGGTTTAATGAAGATCAAGCTAAATGGATATTTGTATAAATATTAGATGCTATTCAATATCTTCATTCTAATAATATCATTTATAGAGATTTAAAACCAGAGAATATTTTAATTGATTTAGATGGCTATCCTAAATTAATCGACTTTGGATTAAGTAAAATTGTAGAAAGTCAAGAGGATCTGAATTTTTCATTTTGTGGATCTTTTGAGTACATGGCTCCTGAAATGATATCATTGAAAGGACATAACTACACAATAGATTATTATTAATTAGGTATATTGTTGTATGAGATGGTTGCTGGAATTCCTCCATTTTATGCAAAAACTAGACAAGAGATGATTAAAAATATTTTGTCGAAACAAATCCATTTTCCGAAATTCTTTTCAAAAAATTTAGTTGATCTCATCTCTCATTTGTGCAATAAAAATGTAGACGAGCGATTATGTGGAAAAAGTAGAAAATCAAATTTATAATAGAAATCTTATAGCATCCCTGGCTCTAGGGTTTCATACGAAAAATGCCAATTAAATACAAAATAGATTCTTTTCATATTGATAAATTGTTTATGGATTAATTGACAAAAGACATTGAAAGTGGGCCCAGATGTATAGTTGAAGAAATTAATCTATAGACAATGGCGTAATCAATAAAAGAGGAGGATTGGTGCTCTTTTGAAAAATTTTAAACTTTTTACTACAAAAAATAATGATTGAATATAAAAAATGATTGTTATAATTTAAAATTAATATGTAAGATAGTTAAACCCTGAAGGATTTATAGATTTAACTCAACAGATTTATCAGCAGACTGGAAGAATTAGAGCGAGAAAATAAATACTTAAAGGAATAGGTATTGAATTAATAATGCTAATTGATGTAAAATGTAAAAATAATTGATGCAAAATATTAAAAAATTCATCGTAAGTAAAATAAATAATTAAACAAAGATATTTGAAGTGTCTATATAAATATGGTATGTCTTAGAGTTGTCTAACCAATATGATTACACAATATAATAAATTAATCGATAAATTTGGAATCGATGACACGATAAAAATGGATCTAAAAAGTTGTACTCAAAAATATGGGGTTATTTATGAAAAGAATAAGATAATTGATGAAGAAGAGATGAACAATATTATAAACGAGAGAATCTCAAAAGAAAGTGAAGAAATATATACGCTGTTCTTTCCAACAAAAGCATTTCAATACTTAACAGATAATGATTCATTGTATTGCATAGTATTATATGTAGATAAAATACTAGTACTTTTTAATCATTACAATCCCAAAGATTTAGAATGCAAAATTCATTGTAAAATAATTCAGAAATGATCACAGACAATTCTGATGATACTATAATCAACAATTTAACTACTTAAAGGTACTTAGAAAAACTTTAATTTGATTACCAGAATGATCAAACTTTACATTATCCTAAAACTTTCAAAGTAGAGAAGCTATTATAATAAACAAATAGAGATCTAAGTTTGTAAAATATTACAGAAAGATCACAAAAATAGAAATTTGAAAAAAGAGGAGACAATAAATAGGAACAATTTAAAATTTCACCACTAAAATCATTGAATTAATCAGGTATTGAAGACAGAGTGAAAAGATTTGATAATTAAGAGAATGAGGGAGGGTATCCTAGGAGGAGATCAAGAGCGGATAGAATTAAATAGCAATAATGATATATGAAATTAATTTACTTTATTTATAAGAAGTAATATCCTAATTTTTATATAAATGAATTAAGTTCAAAGTAAAGATAAAGACTTTAGGTTTTGATTCTGAAATAAAAATAACTGAATTTAATCTGACATTATTGATCCATTATATATATAATTTAATTGATTGAGTTAACGCAAATTTATAGAATCAAAAAGGAGAAGAAGCAACATTTTTGAAATTCTCATATCAAATTCGGATGATATTTATGCATAATATGTATTAAAATAAATATTGATTTGAGAAGGTTCTTAAGTAAATGTTTAATTGGTATTTTTTGAATCGCAAGGAAGAATAGAACATTCTATGATTTTCTAAGACATTCTAAATATGTGTTTGCGTAAGAGATAGTTAATTAAATAAATATTATAAATTAATGTCGAAATCTCGTAGTCAATCATCTATACCTGCATTTTTATAGAAAACGTATGATATATTGGAAGTATGATGCTCAATTTTATTAAAAGAATCCTCAATTGTAAGATATTGTTGGTTGGAATGAAGATGGTTCAGGTTTCCTTGTGAAAAACGTGATAGCCTTCTAAGATTAGGTTCTTCCAATGTACTTTAAACATAGAAACTTTGCATCCTTTGTTCGCTAAGTAAATATCAAGAGTCAAATTTCATAGATGAATATGTATGGGTTCCATAAGTCAAGGAGTGATTTAAAAGAAAATGAGTTCATTCATCCCCATTTTAAGAAGGACTAAAGGTATTTTTTAATGTTATTCAAGAAATCTTTTGAAAAAAATAAAAAGAAAGTCTGGTGAACATAATGATGAGCAATTTGCAATAATGGAACTTAAACCACATAGAAATACCAATTTATAAGATGTTTATTATTAAGTTTTATTATTAATTAGAAATAAATTCAAGAAATATTAGCAAAATAACAGGAGTTAGAGAAAGTTTGTAAAATATTAATTGAGTAGAATAATAAAATATTATCATGCAATCAACAACTTAGAAATCAATTGGTTTAGGAAAGGTATATATCTGAATTAATTAGATTCAATGGTAATAAAAAGATTCAGAAGCTAAAGGATTATTTTTTAGGATAATAATAAATTCAAACTCTGGAAGAGGATCCTCTACAAGTAATCATATTGAATTAGAATTAGAAAAGATAATCAGCAGCATTATATTAGGCCCTAGAATCAGATAATGAAGATCTGATTGTTGCGAATAAAAAAAAAGTGAAGGAAGACGACTCTGATAGTACTATTGAAAGAATGGATAATCAATACTCGAACCCACCTTTGATGTTGACAAATGCTGAGCACTAAGATTTATAAGACTTAAATGATGATGGAATAATTCAATTGTTGAGAGATCAACAATTGGATGATTTATACTTTGATTGATCTATTAAAAAAAATATGAATAAAAATAATAATAATGGAATGAATTAATATTTATGATTCTATTTTATATTCTTTATCCACTATTATCCTAATTATCTGAATCTGAGAATTACTTTTGAGAAGATTTAAACTGCATTTTAATAAACAAAAAAATAATTGAATTATTGCATTTTACTGGATTTAATAGCCCATTTTAAGCTATCTAAGTTCAAAATTTGATAACCAAAATTACTAGACTAAAGTAGGAAAAACTGAAATTAAATTAGTCAATTAACTTTTGATCTATAAATTTGAGTAAATTTAATAGGATATATTTGTAATTAATGTTAATACCAAAAATCAAAATAAAGTTTGATTTAAATATTACTTCAAATTTATTGATAAACAGGTAAAGAAAATTTATAGTTTTTAGTCCTTGCTCAAATCCTTATATCTGATTATTTTTAATGAATTTACGTATACATCAAAGATATAATCATAGATGATTGATATTGAATATTATTAGATTTGGACTTAATTTTTTTTTAATTATTAAACTAAAGCTAATTTAATCAAAAAATTTAAGTGATTTATGCATTTGTATACAGTCCAATCTAGATGGAAATTGAAATGCTGAAATAGATACAATTTTCAGACAAAAAGAGATAGCTAAAAATGTTTAGAGTGATTATTATAATTAAGTAATTTATATGTTATATCTGTTTAATTGACAGAATTCCTTCTTTAGTTAAAGTAGAAAATTAAATAATCAATGTTCTTCAATAAAAATATCTAATTAAATTTTATATAAGAAAAGGCAAATTTAATATGAGTCAAATTAATTGCAATAGAGAGTAATATATATACTTTAATAATTACTTTTCTTTTGTGCATTTCAAAATGAATTTAAGTTGAGCCAATATTAATCCAAAAATTTGAATGCAATTGAATTTAGAATAGCTCGTATCAAAAATTTTGTATTGATGGTATCATGAAAATTTAAAAATATTGGAAATTATTATTGGATTCTAANAAATTCAAACTCTGGAAGAGGATCCTCTACAAGTAATCATATTGAATTAGAATTAGAAAAGATAATCAGCAGCATTATATTAGGCCCTAGAATCAGATAATGAAGATCTGATTGTTGCGAATAAAAAAAAAGTGAAGGAAGACGACTCTGATAGTACTATTGAAAGAATGGATAATCAATACTCGAACCCACCTTTGATGTTGACAAATGCTGAGCACTAAGATTTATAAGACTTAAATGATGATGGAATAATTCAATTGTTGAGAGATCAACAATTGGATGATTTATACTTTGATTGATCTATTAAAAAAAATATGAATAAAAATAATAATAATGGAATGAATTAATATTTATGATTCTATTTTATATTCTTTATCCACTATTATCCTAATTATCTGAATCTGAGAATTACTTTTGAGAAGATTTAAACTGCATTTTAATAAACAAAAAAATAATTGAATTATTGCATTTTACTGGATTTAATAGCCCATTTTAAGCTATCTAAGTTCAAAATTTGATAACCAAAATTACTAGACTAAAGTAGGAAAAACTGAAATTAAATTAGTCAATTAACTTTTGATCTATAAATTTGAGTAAATTTAATAGGATATATTTGTAATTAATGTTAATACCAAAAATCAAAATAAAGTTTGATTTAAATATTACTTCAAATTTATTGATAAACAGGTAAAGAAAATTTATAGTTTTTAGTCCTTGCTCAAATCCTTATATCTGATTATTTTTAATGAATTTACGTATACATCAAAGATATAATCATAGATGATTGATATTGAATATTATTAGATTTGGACTTAATTTTTTTTTAATTATTAAACTAAAGCTAATTTAATCAAAAAATTTAAGTGATTTATGCATTTGTATACAGTCCAATCTAGATGGAAATTGAAATGCTGAAATAGATACAATTTTCAGACAAAAAGAGATAGCTAAAAATGTTTAGAGTGATTATTATAATTAAGTAATTTATATGTTATATCTGTTTAATTGACAGAATTCCTTCTTTAGTTAAAGTAGAAAATTAAATAATCAATGTTCTTCAATAAAAATATCTAATTAAATTTTATATAAGAAAAGGCAAATTTAATATGAGTCAAATTAATTGCAATAGAGAGTAATATATATACTTTAATAATTACTTTTCTTTTGTGCATTTCAAAATGAATTTAAGTTGAGCCAATATTAATCCAAAAATTTGAATGCAATTGAATTTAGAATAGCTCGTATCAAAAATTTTGTATTGATGGTATCATGAAAATTTAAAAATATTGGAAATTATTATTGGATTCTAAATTTAGTTATTTTGGAAATCTAATACAAATACATCAGCTGACCTAAACTTTGGCTAATTCAATTATCATGGAATGAGGTTCTTTATTAATTATATAATATATTATAACAAATGTATAATTTCTTTTAATATCTAATAAATGGATCATTCGAATATCTGTTCTGCTGATTTGGACTAATTGCACATTGTAATTCAATAGAAAATATTTGGCAAAGAAGATACCTTAAAAAGTGTGACCATGAAATTCATTGAAAAATACAAAAAAACAAATATTTTAGAGCAAGATAAAAAGTAATATATCAATATATTTAGACTTTTAGAAAGATTTTCCTTGAGACTCTAAGAATTGATGGAGAAATGCAAATCTCAAGATCAAATAGAGTACTTATAGTCAATTCAAAGGAAATTAGCATCAATGAGTTTCATTCGATTTCTTGAAGTTCTGCATTCAACAATTGATTAGAAAGCAAATGAAACAGTAAATTAACAAAATAAATAATCCTAAGGATGGCAAATCAATAACAAATTAAATAAGAATCTTTTTTAATTTTACGATGATCAATTTTGGAAATTGTATGGTCTTCTTTCATTGAATTAGTATTAAAATATTGATATCAAAGAGATCACATAGACAGCATGATATAATATTACTAATCAAAATAAGAGAATGTCGAGAGGCTCTTAAAACTTAGTATGGAAAGGAATAAGTAGTTTAATTACTTATAACAATAAAAACCACCTCCATAAGTGGATGTATTCCATAGAAATCACAAGACTCCAGTTTCCTTTTTGAATAGGACAATAGATCCATCTCGACATACTAGAAATCAGCGAATTCGTGAGGCCATGACTTCGAATATCAAACTTAGCAATTATACAGTATTAACCAGAAGTCCAAAAAAGCAATCTAGACCAACATCGAAAGAAGTACATTCTGAAAATGAATAATTTTTCTCATAATTATTGGATAGAAGATCAAAACTTAATTCACAAGATAAATCAAATAGTTTCTACTTGTTGTGTGAATCCAATGCTAAGGAGAAAGTATTGAATTAGGTGCATTTGCAATTAAATTCCTTTCCTTAACAAAGCTCATTAGATCTTAAAGCTTCGGCTTAAAGGAAGATAAGTTCTATAGATTTAAATTGTAAATAATTACAAATAAATATAGAATCATTCAATTAATAAATTATATAATCTGAGTCTGCTACTCCAAAGAAATAATAGAAAAAATAGAGATTCATTTAAAAAATCAACCAAACATTTTACCAATAATTGTTCCCTACTTGTAAAATAAGAAACAGAGGATTTGCTGCAATGAGAAATTAGTTATTTAATGAATCCAGAGCATTGAATTGTTTGAACATTACTATTAGTAATTATAAAGTATGAACTCTTCATTAACTCCCAAAATGTGACACATAATGATTCTAATTGTATAATTGTTTAATTGTAAATAAGAATAATTTTAATTTCTGTAAACATGATTATAGAGTGCATAGCATTTTTTATCAGAATCACTCAAAAAACATTTGAATTTCTAAGGCTAACTCCTTTAATAGTATTCATAATCAAGAAAAGCATGTGGTACGGATTCTTTACGATTTTGGCATTGGCAACAATTTTAAGAGCCTATTTCTCTTATATTCCATAGATGAATTAAAGAGTTCAAATTCAGTATCACTTGATAAATGGGAAATATTATGGATTTGTATTCGATCGTTCATTTAAAAATATTTGCTAAGTTTCCAATTCAGACATCATACTAGAATTTTAATCTTCTACGTTAAAATTTTAAAAGAATTTTTTATGTGAATCTGTTATTTTTGAGGGTGATAATGAGATTGAATTTTAAGATGAATATTACGAAATTCAATTCAATATTGATGCAAACTATTTAATGCCAAATTAGAAAACCATTGTGGAATTAACTTCATATCTAATAACCGATGACAACAATAAGAATTTCAAATAGCAAAACCTCATAAAATTGGGAGAATAATATCACTTAGTAAAATTCATATTTCATTTAGTCCATATTTAAATTTCTTCCATTCCGGATTATCATTAAAGTGTTTAAGAAATTATCTGAAGTACTAGATCTACATGATAGCTATGCTAAGACTGGGGAGATCAAACTATTTAATCATATTCCAAATTAGAACATAAAAATTAAAGCAATTATTTTGGAGATGATTGCTTATGAGTAAACACATATATTTAATAAGAGCCGCATAGTTTAGTTCAGAAATTAATTTTGTACCACATCTGTCTGGTATAAGATATTACCTCTATTATTATTTCTTTTCAACTCTTACTTTAGGAACGTTCTTACTCACATTGATATTCATAATATTTTGGGAAGTAATTTAAGTAGTATTACAAATAGATTGTCTTTAATGTCAACCTATGGGTTTTTATCCTGGGAATCATCAGATCCATACTTGTAGCTTTAAGGGAATGAAGTATTTGTTGTTTATATTATAAATGGATAATTTTTATAATAAAAACTATATTAACGATTTAAATGGTGATCCCTATTTGACGCATTAACACAATTGTTAATGTTTTATTAATTATATCACGAATAATAAAAATGGATCGCTGCCTCATTATATGTCCTTGTTGCTAGATTCAGGTAGGGTTTCTAAATTGTTGTACTTGTTATAAGCATTATGAATTTTTGCTATGCAATGGTTTACCTGTGGCTTGTCCAATTTGTGTGAATGTAAGTATTTATGGCTATTTCAAATAGATTAAATTGGATACCTATTATCAAAGTGACCAGGACGTGGAATTACATAGAAATTGTTATAAAAACTATAAAAGAATGTTTTATCATTGTCAGTGTTGTAATGGATATTTCTGTACTTGTGTGTAAGATATTTCTATTAAAACTTTAAGCGAAAAGCAACTGAAAAAAAACATAGTTTTAAATCCTTGCCCATTGCTCAAAAGAAAGGTTTGAGAGTTTTAAATTAATCGTTAAACTAATGATCTCGAGTTTTTATGTATCCATGTATCGTATATTAATATGAAATTTTGATATTACTATATAAACCAGTCACAAATTTAGGATATTGCTTCCTTAAACAACTAATCTAGTAGAAAATAAAGCTCAGTTAATTTTATTGGATTAATAAACATCAACACATAATATTTTTAAGCCAAATCTTCTGAGACTCAAGTTTAAGCTCAAAAGAAAGTACTTTCCAATTCTCAATAATTGCATTATTACTTAATGAGAAAATTTATAATATATTAGCACGTGTTAAGAATCATTCTTTAATTTGATTTGTAGAAATTAATATATTCGAAGAATCAATTGTATGTTCGAAGGGGAAATATCAAGAATATTATTCTTAGATTCTATTAAATTATAATTTAAGTATATCAAACTTTAGGCTTCACACTTACGTTTTCTTTATATAGATCAGCTTGTATTTACCTTACTTTCTTGATAGGTCCCTTAGGATTCACTGTTTGAACTATTAATCATTATAATTGAGAAAGTACTTCTAGTCCTGGGAGATATTTATCTATCTGTCAATATTTAGGTTGGAGTAACTGAATCTTCATTTGTTTAAGTCTTAAATTAAAATTAAAAAACATTACAATTTTGGCCGCATAATTAAATTATTCAATATTGTACGCGATATCATCCTTAGATTATCTACAAGACAAACTTTGTTAATCAGTTGAATTGAGCATATCTGTTAGATTAAAATGAAGAGAGTCTGCTTCACTTTTCTGAATTGAAGTCGGCAATAATTTAATTATACCCAAGTGTCCTTGACTTAAAGTATTCTTAGATATAGAAATTATTTACTTTTTGATGTCCAGGTTAACGAGAAGAATTGTAATCATTAGAAAGATTATTTTTTTTGTGTTTAATTTATTTAGGAGTTAAATTCTTAATTTCTTAGAGATTAACTTAACAAAGAGCATTTTCATAGAATTTATTCTTGCTCTTCTATCTTGTAAGTTGAGTTTAAATAGTTTTTAATTGTTGTTCTTTTTTGAGAGACTCATCAAAAAGGAGAGCCTATTTTCTTTGAAAATCATTTTTCAATTTAAGAGCAACAACTTAGCATTATTCAGCAATTTTTTTTTCATTATGCAACTTTTTCGTTAATTCAGTCTTTTATTCAACTAATTGAGTTTCTTTATCATGTAATTGTTGACTCAAGATTTTAAGTTAAGAATCTAATTTATAATTGATCTCCCTAAAATAGAAATGAATTAAACAAATTACTTATATTCTAAGAGTTGTTTTTCCAAGATTATTTTGTCTTATTCAATTTGTGTAAGCTTTGTTGCTTGTATTAATTCTCTTTGTTAAGTATTCATCTGATATTGATTGTTCTAATAGATGGTCTCATTGTGTGCTTAGTTTAAATCAGCGATTTATTACATTAAGCTTCTTTACTAATTTAATTGTTATATTTACTGCAAATTCATGAGTCTTGTTTAATTCTTCAACTGTCTTTTCCATTCTCTCTTTGTCCCTGCATTCGCAATCTAATTAATAAGTAAGCTCTTTCAGTTTCAATTTGAGACAATTCAAATCCTATTGGATAGTAAGATGTGAGTATACATATTCGAAAATAGATTTCTGATTAGTAAGGGCTTCAGTGAATTCACGAGCCAGTCCTTCTTTTTCAATCTCATTTTATTTTATGATTGAATCCAATTGTTATTGCAAATCAGGACATTTTAGACATTTTCTAAGTATTAATGATTTGTACTTACTTTGTTTCTAATTCTTAATAGTCTAATTATAATTGGTTATAATCATTTTATAATTATATAAACTCCTGAGATTTCTTACGATGCTTAAATATTATTGCTATAATACTTGATATTCAAGAATGATGATTTTTTCTTGAAGAGTGGTTTTCAGATTGGTTAATTCTTATTAATGCAGTTAATTTAACAAATGAATTTCTTTGCCCTTATCTTAATTTTCCATATCACGCATGGCTTGCATTAAGGATTCATTAAGCTTTTTGAGATTAATCTCTCTATCTAGAGCCTCCTTGAGTTGCATCTCTAATAAAACAGATTTATTCATTAACTGTTTATTATATATATATAAAATGCAATTATAAATAATATATTGTTTAGATCAATTGGACAAATTGTATGAAATAGACGAAATGCACAATTCAATGGAGAGATGTTGAATGATTTAATGTGTGCTTTAGATTAATTAAAAATTATATTAAAATGTAATTTAATGAAGACACAAAGAAGTTCTTGACTCCTGAAATGATGAAATCGATGTCTTAAATGTGCGCAAACATGAGTGATGATCAATTGAGACAATATGCCTAGATGGGAGGAATGGGGAACGTGGATCCTTCGTTCATGAGACAACAAATGGGTCAAGTCAAGAATATGAGAGACGAGGATCTACAAAGATAAGTCAATCAAGTATTGTATCTATCTCTATTTAGACTCGTCCAGAGGATATAGAAAGAGCAAAATAAAGAATTTAGGGACAACAACCATAATCATAATAATAGTAGCAAAACCCATAGAGTGACTAATTTCCAATAATTAACAAATTAAAAAATTAAGGCAATGATGCATTCAAATCACAAGATTATGAGAAGGCTGCATCCAAATATTACGAAGCCATATCTGAAATCGAAGAAATGTGGGAGAATAATGCTTATTTAAAAAGTGACACAATTAAAAAATAAGAATTGAAACTTTTGGAACATTCTTGCAGATTGAATTATTGTAATGTGAAGGCTAAACAATCCTAATATGATGTTGTGTTACGTTAAGCCAAGAAAGTCTTAGAAGATGATGATTAAAATGGAAAAGCCAATTTCAGAATGGGTCAAGCTCTCTTTGAAACAAAAAAGTATCACGAGGCTCTTAAGTATCTGGAAATCGCATCTCAGAAATTATCAAATGATGAAACCGTTCAAATTATGTATAAGCAAGCCTAAAACCAAATAAGTAATTTAAATGCAAATCCTGCTGCATAATAGGAAGAAAAGGGAAATCAAAATGAATAACCTAAATAAACTTAAAAATAACAAAAGGAAAACTAAGACAGCGAGGAGTAACAATAAAAAAAGCCAAAAATCAAATTGTCTTCTGTTGACACCAACTCAGAGGAATTCTAAAATTTAAAGTAGAAGGTACAAACTTCTAAAGAAGATGGTTTAATTGTTGATGAGGAGATTTCAACTACAAAAAGTAAAAGTAATAAACCAAGCACTTAATAAACTGAATCTCAAAATGTAAATAAAACACCAGAAGATCCACAATTTCAATAGTAATTCGACCAATTTAAAAATATGGTAATGTCAATAGCTATTATAGTCTCCTGAATAATTAAACTACATGACTAATACTTTGAAATCTATGGATAAAGGGTTCTTGAAATAAATGATGAAGTAGTAGAGTGGAGTGGAGATGTCAGATTAATAAATAGAAATGATGTAAACTATGATGACACCTGAAATGTTATCATAAATGAAAAATATAGATCCAGCAGTTTTAAAATAGTAAAAATCATAATAATAATCATAATAATAATCATAATCCTCATAATAACAACAACCTGTTTAATCAACTTAATAGTCAAATTATCAAAACGTACCTTAAGCCTAAACTGCAGCTTAACAAATGCCATAAAATCTGTAAGGATTAGCATAGAATCCCTAAATGCTTGGAATGGTCATCGATCAATTAAAAGCTAATCCCCAAATGTTAAAAATGATGGCTCCTGCGTTTGGGGGCAACAATGCTATTACATAATACATTGATTCTGCAAGGTGAGGTGTTTATCTCATATTTTTAGTCCAGAGTAGTTATCAAAGGTGGTGGGTAGATTGGCCATATTCTTAAAGTTTTTATTAATGTTGTATAGAGCATGGTTGATGGTGAAAAACCAATGGAAATTTATATTGGGGTTCCTCTTGGCATACTTATATTTTAAATTATTTTGAATTCTAAAAAAAGAATAAGTTATTAAATTCATAATTATTAATGGACACACCTATAGGTAAAGATCTCACGAATTCTGTCATCGGCAAAGTTTACAAATTGATCAAGAGAATAGGAAGTGGAGCTTTTGGGGAAATTTACCAAGTAGCCAAGGGAAAGGAGGAATATGCAATGAAATTGGAAAGAAGCGATAATAAGCATCCTCAATTGTTTTTTGAAGCCAAATTGTATTCATATTTACAAGGCTCTGATCATAGTGATAAAGGTATTTGAAGGGTTAATTAAAAGTTAGGAATCCCTAGAATATATGCTTAAGGAACAGACGGTGATTATAATTACATCGTCATTGATTTATTGGGTTAGAGTCTTGAAGACCTGTTCAACAAGCATAATAAAAGATTATCTCTAAAGACTGTAAGCAACTCTAATTAATAATTAGGTCTTGATGCTTGGAGATTAGATGATTTAACGAATTGAATTCATCCATTAGAATAAATTCCTTCATCGCGATATTAAGCCTGATAATTTCCTCATTGGGTTGGGCTAGAAGGCAGTTAGAATCTACCTCTTAGATTTTGGATTAGCCAAAAGATATTAAACAAAGGAAGGACATATCCCATACAGAGAGGGAAAGAGTCTAACTGGAACTGCCAGATATGCATCTATCAATACACACTTAGGAATTGAGTAATCAAGGAGGGATGACCTAGAGTCTCTTGGTTATGTCTTAATGTATTTATTAAGAGGATAGCTTCCTTGGCAAAACATGAAAGGAAACAATCAAAAAGAAAAATATCAAAGAATCATGGAGAAGAAGTTGGAAACATCTTCTGATGTATTGTGTAAAGGATTTCCTATTGAATTAAGTCAATATTTGAATTACTGTAAGCATTTAAAATTTGAAGAAAAACCAGATTATCTTTATCTAAGAGGATTGTTTAAGGTATGTTGATGAAAATACATTTTAGGATGCTTTTAAAAAGATTGGCTTTGAACTTGATTAAAAGTATGACTGGATAAAGGATGACAATGTGATAAAAACTCAGCAGGATTTGATGAGTACTGAAAAACAATAGTTGCATCAACAGTTGATTATGACATAACCATTACAATAATAACCTCCAATACTACCAAAGGCGGCATTGAATGGGATAGATTCTGAGAAGAAAATATCAAACACAAACAACTAATAATTAAGCACTTAATAATTGACTGCATAAAGAAAAACACTATAATAATAATAGATGAATAAGATGTCATCAGTTGAAAAGAAAAGAACTACTTCTTAAAATAGATAGCCTATCCCCTCGAAGGAAATAGTAAAGCCAGTGACTTAAGTGTTGGCACCAAAAATAGTCACTACTAAGGAACCTCACAGAAAATATTGATATTCTTAAATCATACATATTTTAATAATTGATTCTCAGTAAATCTCAATCTTGATGAAGCTAATTCTATGATTCATGAATCTTAAAGGGCTCTTTTAAGGAAACATGGAAGATTACGCAACATATGATATTTTTGCATCATTCGCAATTACATCATTGCAGTTTTAGTGTATTTCAAAGTGAAAATTTATATTATTGAAGGGATCATTAGAAAACTTATAAATCATTAATTTAATGTCTAAATGTTAGAGAGTTCGAAAAGAAATTAATAAGGCTATTATTATATATATAATAACAATTGGTTTGATTAGAATTTTAACATTTAGTACTATTATACTGAACATACTGAATATAATTAATTATTTTATATTGAATTACTTCTCATATAAAATCTATCATTATGTCCCAGTAATTTCAACCTAAATTAGAAGTTCAAAAATAATGAAAATGATGATGTAAAATACGATTAATTATATTGTTGTTATTAAGATATCAAATTTCATCAAATGATTAATTTTAACTTGATTTATTTTAGCCCTTTTTTGATTGTTTTTATTTTGTTGGCATAAAACTTGATGTGACTGTTAAGAATCTTCCATCTTTAAAGTTATTGACTTCCAACATTTTTTAATTTAAGTGTGTGATGCCCATTCTAGTGTTAGTAAATTTCTTAATTTATTTTAATAATTACTTGCATGAAACTAGGCAAAAGGGATTTTTAATCACATTCTCTGTCTAACATTGTTTTAAAATTAGGTGCTGTTGGAGAAGTGAACAATTGACTTTTAGGTTGTTTTGAATATTAATCGTATTCAAAGTAACTTTCAAAATTATAAGGAGGTATCTTAGTCAAAATGTCCTTTCTTTATTCCAATTTGTAGAAGGGTGCTCCACAACTGCCCAACTGTCTAGTTTGATTAAGTGAGTGTACTTTTTGCCGAATTCAAAATTAGGTTTATAATCGGGGGCAAACTCTTTCTTTTTATAAATCAACATCTGATCTCTGGATAATTACTTTTCCAATTTAATTTAGGGTTGTCTAGGTACCTTACTCCATTGGTTGGTTACATTTAAGAACTGAAATCGATCTGGGTGAGGATTGGGTCTTCCTGAGAAGATATCAGCCCTATTTTAGAGAGATGATCAAACCTTGGTATTTGTCTTTGCAGATCGACAAAACTCTCATATTTGAATTTAGGTTTCTCAACTATGGAGGGAATCCTATTTTATTAATAAGGGAACTTACTCGTGAGGTAAATCTTATTGATGTTTATGGGGAACTTCGATAGGAACAGTTTGTTTCAAAGTCTTATCGTAATGGGGAACTGAATGTACGGCTCTGTCAAAAGTATAGGATATTGATGTTACTTGTCGAGTTCACTATATTTGATATGATATTGTCCACAGGATGCTTTGCAATTGTTTCCTATTTAGGTGTAATGACCGACTTTTCTGGAGATCTATTTGGTAAAAGGTTAGGACATTCTGAGAAGATGCTTTAAATGGTTTTGTTCTGCTTCGTTAAGTGATTCCTATTGAGAAAGGGCATTCTTATTATTCAAGTCAGGAGATTTGCTTGGTTGAGGAGTGCTGAATTTTTTGACAGGATGATCGTCTCTGTGTTGGAATACAATATATTTTTCGGAGGTTATTTTTCCAGCCTTACTAAACATATTTTATAAGTCATTTTAATTATGTATTAGAGCCATTTTTATAAATAATAATATTACAAAGAGGATATTAAGTAAGTGGTATTATTTTATTTAATAATATAATTAAAATGGAAAAAATGGAAATGGTTTCATCTCATCTACCTCTCGTAAAGGACAGGGGAGAGTGGAATCAATAGACATTTATCATACGACCAAAATTCGAGAAGAAAGAACGATAAAGCATCGATAATCAATTAGAGATCCAGTTTCCTTTGCATCGAGACTTTGACTTTGTGGCCAATCATGCCATGGGTTTCAAAGGGAAAGGGAACGTGGACTTATTCAAGTTCTACTATCGATTGTATTTGAAGAATAAATTTGCAATTCAGAAAATCAGAAAGGAGAAGAAAGTCAAAGATGGATAAAAAAAGAATGAGAACACCAAAAAATAGTAACTGAATCAGACTGAAGAACCAAATACAGAGGAGATACGCAATGCATACAAAACAATAGAGATTAAACCACCCTCTTAACAGAAATAACTGAAATTTGTTAGAGAATGCATTAAGAATTTATAATAATAGGCAGCTATTGTGAATAAACACATTGAATTGCCTAAATTGGTATCGCCATAAACTCAAGTCAAAATAGTTAATATCGATACTACGAAAATCCCTTAAGCGAAAACAAGGGATCAACAATTGGAGTTAGAAGAACTAATGCTGAGTAGAGTGGTGTAGGCAATTTAGGAATCTCAGGTGGTTTCTCATGAGGATGTAAGAAAAGTAAGGGAAATCATCATGTAACGACACAGTCAATTGAGTGAGATAGAGAGAGAATTATAATTGAATCAAATACTAGGAATCAAGAAACAAATTTACGAGAGAGAGATGGCAATGAAGAATGAACTCAATAGACCTCCAGGCATTGATAATCCTGATAATTTCAATGAGTTGAGTTCAATCTAAGAAGTATCGATTATTAGATCCATGCAATTCAGATCATAGCCTAACGTAAGTGTTACTGAGTATAAATTTAACAATTATGAAGACGAGTCAGAATATATGACAAACAAAACAAAAATAGGGTTAAAATAGAAATAAATAGAAGAAACACTGATTTAAGAACAATCAACTGAAATGCAATCTATCTTACAATAGATTAGATCGACTTCTGTTGTTACAAAAGGCAATGAGACTGAACACAGTAAGGAGAAGATATTAGATAAAAATAAATTGTTACCAACCTTAAAATTCTTAGAATAAGCAAAATAGTAGATTGTCCAAAGATCTGACAATGATAGTCAATAACTCTAATAACCATACTTTCAACCAGATGTTTAGGATTCCAGCAAGTCTAAGGTTTAATAGAGTCTATCTATGGTATCATAACTACAAAATAAAACAAGTAAAACCATCAAATCTAGTGCCAATAGATCAAATCAATTGGCATCTTCTTCATCCAATCATCATTCAAACTAGGTAAGTCTTGAGAAGAAGTAAACTGAAACTATGGGAAAGAGTGCCTACAAATTGAATGAAGAATAGAAACCAAAACCATAAGACAAAGAACTAGATGTAAGTGATGATATGAAATTTGAGAGATAAAATTACTATGAAATGAAATTCAGTCAAATTCTGTAGAGAGTAATTGATTAAAAGAAAATTCAAGGAGGAGGAGGAGAAGAATCTTAACATTCTCGGACTCTCTCCTAAGTGGAATCTGAAACTGTCTAAAAAATAACTTAAAATCTAGTATCCAATATCATTAATATGCACAAAAATCCAACTCCGACTATGGATTAACCATCCACTTTCAATTTCTTAGAAGTTGACTCTGATGATTAAGAAAAGGCAACGTAAAGTATTCCAGTTATGAAGAGTGAAGAGGCTCCTGAGGAAGCTCGCAGACATCTCTCTTACAATCGAGACATTTCTCATTTAGATCATGTATTCAAAATTGAGAGTCAAGTGTCTCTGTCTGACAAGAGATTGAATGAAGAATAGATTGCTAATATTATCTAATAGATTTCATAATAGTTGTAATAGGCTCAAATACCTCCTGAACAAATTGAAAAATAATTAGATGAAGTCACTAATATTTTACTTAAACATCCTATTAACAAGTTGTCATCCAAATTACTGAAGAAATCAACCACCATTATGTAAAATGAACCTAACAAGAAGATCTACTTGGAGGAAACTAGGTTTCCAACTAAACAACCCAAAGTGACACATAAATAAGATTAAATTGATTATTTGAAATTTTATGAAGAGAATGCTCCACCTAAACAAGAGAAATCAAAGAAAAGCTATAAGATACAAGACACTTCCAAAAGATCCAAATAGTCTGCCATGATCAAAAGCATGTCTGAGGATGAACGAAAACAATTTCTAGATTCCCATAAGATGAATCTCCAGGAAAGAGCTAATTCTCAAGAAATGGATGAAGAGTTGCAATTTCTATAATCTGTAATTGATGATCAAAAGAAATAAAGGGAGCAGATATTCACAAAGAAATAGTCCTAACCAATTTAATCAGGTAAGAATACATCCAGAGATTAGATTGATTTCGATGAATCCAGTGAGAAATAGTAAAATACATTTCGATCTCATAATCCTCCCACTAATATCAATTACGAAACTGATCAAATCAAATAAGGATAAACAGAAATCAATTTCAATCTCAGAAGACCCTAAATCAAGTAAAAAACAGATTAGACCTTCAATAAATCTGAAAATACATAGCAAATTTAAATCTCCAGTTAATAAGGTACCTAAAGATCAGATCCTTATAGAAGTAAAACTAAAAGAACTAACCATGATGAATAATATTAACCAGATGGATCCTTAAAATCTAATGGTACTTACAAAAGCAATAGATTGGGAAATAGGGAGAGCAGTGATAAAGATCATGATAAAGTAGAAGTGTACTCTCCAAACATATCAGTTGAAGAAGTACCTCATTAAGATGAATAAGACCCGTTATCTGACAAAGAGGAGGAGTTAATTGTTGAGGAAATCTAACAATAAATGGATGAAAATGGAAATACAGTCAATGTTGTCACAAAGAGAACGATGAAAGTAATGAGTGAAAGATCAAAGAAGTCAGATCCTAAATAAAGTGAAAGGTCAAAAAAATCAAAATAATCAGATTAGCAATAATAGTAACATTAGTTATAGGTCAATAGATAAAATCCAAGAGAAAAAACACAATAATCGTAGTATAAGGAATAAGAGTAACATTATGATTAATAGTAAAACTAAGAATAACACTTAGTGCAATAACATAAGTAGATATCAAATTAATAATAATAAAATTAACAAGAATCAGTTAATAATAATAACAATGAAGATAGATAAATTAAACTAAATTTTCAACATTAGGATAGTAATTAAAATATTGCTGAACACTCTTAAAATTAATAGATTTATTCATAGCAATTAAGAAATAGAACTAATTTGTAGGATATTCAATTGAAAAACTATTCCCCTTCACAAAATTAATCATTAGTTAATAGCAGTGGAACACCTCAATAAAATAATACTCCTCTTTAACCGCCTGGTAGAAAGCAAGGCAGTAAGAAGACAAAGTTCGAAGATTAAAGTAATAATAATAACAATGGTAACACTCCTTAGGCAAAATTACAGAGAGTCAAGACTAAATTGTCAAGATTTTAGGAGGCAGCCAATAATAATGAGGATGAAGACTATGATTATGATTGGGATGAAGAGGATCCAAGCAATAAGAAGAAGAAAAACACTTCAAAATCTAGCAAATCCACTTTGAGAAATGACATTCAATCCCCATCGGTTTCTCCAATGGCCAAGTAGGCTACGATGGCAAAGAAGAAGGTATATGATCTAAAATAGGAATATGAATTAATTGCAAGACAGAATTTGAGTTTGGCAGATCTGAAGAAGGATATTGAAAAGAAGATCACATAATTATAGAATCCAGATGATGAAGCCAAGTATAATATTTATCTTTGTAAACATATTTGATAATACATTTAGATGAGCAACGTTAAAAATAGTTGAAGAATATGCCTCAAACAATTGAAGGATTAATAAATGATAAGAGGGAGAATGATGATGGCTGTGGTGATACTATACGTAAATTTCATGAGAATCGAATGAAATACAAGGATGTGATAGAGAAGGATTAGGCACTTAAATTTACAAATTAAATTCAATTGGATGATGAATAACAAACTCAAATCAATACACAATCTCATCTTGATGAATATATGAGGGAAGTCTAGATGAATATTTAAAGAATGATTCAATAAGTACAATTAGGTAAACATTTAGATTGATTGTTATTAGAATAAATGAGGGATCATCCTGAAGTCAGAAAAGAGTGCTTCGAATACGATACAAGCATCATTTAATAACGAAAAATGGAATCATTGGCAAGTGAAATAGTGTAAACTCAAGCACAAATGCAAATATATGAAGAACCTACTTAAGAGACTCAGAGAAAGACTGAGCGTTTAGAATAGGATTCGGTAATACCAAATTAGATTGACTAAAAATTTGAAATTTTGGCACAGAAATTGAGAGCATTGAAATTCAAGAATCCAGAGAAGTTTAATTAAATTGTAAATACAGAGATTGTAAAAACAGATTTATTTTTGTCAACTACCAAACACAAATATATTTTAGAATGATTAAAATATTATTAATTAATTTAATTAATAAATGAACAATATAATCTTAAATATTGATGCAAGATGTAATCACATATTTGTAAACATTGTTCTATACTAAAGTAGAGTATACAAAAGACGACTTGATAGATTTAATATTTATCTAGTAAATAAGTATACCCACATGTTGTTGTTACGATTTTGGTAACAAAAGATTGATTTGAATTCTTCATCTTTTTATGGCTGCCAATAATAATTATTATATGATATATCAATATGTGTCATAAAAAATTAAATATGCTTCACCTTGTTATGGTTGTTTTGTTAGAGTGACTTTGATGTCGGAAGTAAGATACCATTCACATTTTTTGTATGATTTATCTCGACTCATTGATGATTCAAGATCCAAAGCAAATGTCCTTTTGAATGCAACATAATGGCCTAGAAAGATGATTTAAGATACTCACCAGAGTTGGAATCACCTAAATGACAAACTAATGCCGAAAGAGAGTATTCTTTGTCAGCAACCATAAAAGTAGAATCCAAATAAACTGGATGATCCAATTTTACTAGTCCATAATAGGGATGCACAATGAGTCTATTGACGAAGAAGCAGAAGGTTTTCTAAGAATAGATCTATAGAAATACTGGATATTTTGCAATGTGAGTCTATCGTGTCACTGTTCTTTTAAGACATGCCTTCAATGGGTCAATCTAAAATTGATTGCCTTGGATTGCATTAAGTTGCTCTATGATTTTCTTAATGATGGTTTAAGAATCCTCATCATAAGCGTTGATTGAGAGATATTAATCAATGATCTTTTGTTAATCAGTTAGAGTGTATTTCTTTCTCAAGAATTGCAAGGAACAATATAGACAAATATAGTCTGTTATTGTTTCTGGTTTTTGGATATAATCGATTGCTTCTTTAACTGTTCTTGCATGGTTGAGTTGGAAATGGAAGGCATAGTTACTTTCTACTTTGAGTGAATTAAACTACATTTACTAAAAAGATGCTTACAGAATAATTACAAGTATTGCACTTAATTTGAACTTTAGTGTGATGAAGAAAAGGATTCTTGAATTTCATTTGTTTCGATTTCAACATGGCTAAATCAAATGAATTAACTTGGTTATTTGCTTCTTCAATGTGTTTCATGAGCATATTGAAGAGTTCATGAGAATCCTATTATTGATAAAAAAAGGAGTAGTCAGCATCTTCTGAGAGGAGATCAATCAAATCGTTAGCATCGATCACTTCTAGATCACTATTCAGGTATTTCATGATTTTGGCCAATTCTAAACAGATCTACTAGTCTAAGGTAGTATCCCCATTGATGTGCTGTACCAATTCAAATAGATATTCAATGAAATTGGGTTATGAACTTAAGGCCACTAATTATGTAATTTGTCGTACTTGTAATACTGAATTCAAGAAGCATGTGTTCCCAATGTTTCTAATTCCTGCTGGTTTCTTATTGTAATCAAGAGAGGCAGAGGACTATAGTAGACTGTATTCCACTTGGCCTGTGGGCTTGCATTGTTTGGATTTCGTTGTGTATTTGAATGCTCCATACAAAGCCAGCATCAGAGCACCTCCATAAACCCAATGGCTTTTATTTTTAATCATATTTATATTTAAAATTATATATTAATATATTTAAGTAATTTATTTCAATAAATCACTTTGTAATGTAAGCTAACACCAAAGTCCCTGTGGATATCCATAAGACTCTTGAGGACAACTTCAAAGCCATCAAAGAGGTGGGAGTGAACGAAATTTGCAATTTCATGTTATCCAGGTTACGTGATTAGGTAACTTAAATTTAAATAAATATCCAAGGACTTGCCATAACACATTAGACTACAGTATTTGTATAATGTCCATCAGATCAATTAGAAGATGAGTTTGACTGAATTGTGCAACAATCAATTGGAATTGAACATCGTAAACAATATCAAATATGTATTCTCAATGCAGTATGATAGAGTATGGGTAAGATTTAGATTAATTGCTGAATTAAATGGATGCATCCCTAATTGCCTCATGTGAATATCTGAGACCCGTCCCCTAAATATTAACACCACAATGGGAAGACATTTCACCTCAAATTACATTCCAACCAATTTGGGATTATAATGTTAATCCATTCCTCTTTCGATTTTTCCTAACGCAAGCCCAATCCACCAAACTCCACCCATAGGATCAATAGATGATCTTGAAACTATTCAAACCAGAATACAAAATAGATGAGGAACAATTCAACAATCTTGTTGAACACAATCCCTAATTTGTTAGTGATATCATTACTAAACTGCACTAATCTGGAATGAATGTTCATGAGTAAATCTAACCATTTATTAGTCTCTAGATATTTAAATTATCTCATTCATATCAAGGCCACCATCTAGACTTTAGAGTTAGTGAATCAACTCACCAAGAATATCACTCTTCCTGACTAATTTCTTAATATGTTCATCACCAGTTGCATTGAAACTTGTGAAGAAGTCAAATAAGTAAGATATTATTTCAAATATCCAATTAGAATCAATAACAATTAACTAGACAAGTCAGATTGGTATCAGTCTTCATCAAGACTCTGATCAAATAAAAGACCTTCAATCCAAAGAAGATTTATGTTGAACTATAGGGATTCTGTTTAGAATTTTCTTCTATTTAAGAAGCAACACAGTTATTTAAAGCCATCAAAAATGCAGTCCAGGAACAATGAGTTTAAATATCAATATAAAATTTTATTATTATTTCTTATGAGACATTAACGAGTTGAATCACTAGGTCCGATGGAAGACGTGCGAAAGAAACACACCAAGAGTGAAATAGTACTGTCTTCCATGTTCAGATTGCCTAAGGTACAAGTACCACAAAGTAATCACATTCCTTTAATCACTATAGGTTCAAAAAATGCATTATCTGTCAATCCTAATTGGTCTCATTTAAACTATCAAAATGATAATTCAAAAACCAATAATACCTTTGCAGAAATATAAGAGATTCTTTAATAGTAAATCACTTTGCAATATCCAAATATACTACCTCAACTCAAAAAATTCATTTAATAATCCTAAATGGGCATCACTTTAACAGAGTTATCAAAAAATAGTTAATTAATTGATAGTTCAGTCAATCTCTTTACCTAATCCATTTAAATTATGCTTTAGATCATTAAGGAAAAAGAACCAAAAAAAATTGAAATTAATCAGTAAGCTGAAACTGAAATTTAAAGAAAGTTTTCTTTAGCCTTAATAAAAGAATCAAATAATAAAGCTGATCGAGAAACTTAAATCATAAATAATGAGCTAAAACTTATCAATCATAAATTGTAGATTGAACTAAATCAGTTAGCTACCAAATTAAGAAACCTAGAGATTAGCATGGACGTTGATCTCTTAAAAGAAAAGATCAGAGAATTAACAGAAGAATTAAAATAAAGGACTTTGGAATTGAAGATTGAAATTTAAAATAGAGATCAATAATTAATCAAACATTTACAAAAAATAGCTTAATTGAAATCGATAATCTAATAACATGAAGAAAAAATAGATGAATTACAAAACTATATCAATAATAATCAAGAAAGATTCACTCAAATGGAAACTACATACATGTCTGTTTATAATGATAGATATTATTGGAGAGACATCTCAAAAATGTTGGAGGAGGACTTATTGAGTTAATAGATGAGATATCAGAAATTTTTAGCAGATGAAGCTAAATCTAAAAAGAAACTATAAATGCTCTAAAGGGAATTAGATTAGATCAAAATAGAAAAGAGTAAAAGAGTAGAAATTCCAGAATTTAATAAGGAAGCTGAAGAGAATCTTCAAAAACTCTTATATTTATTCACCAAAGAGAAATTTCATATGGTTCAAATGAAAGCCTTTATCTAAGATAAAATGAGTAAATTAAATGAGCAAGAATAACAACAATATTAATTTATGAAAAATTTAAAATTAGATCACATTTATATGGATAGACTCAACAAATATACTTATCCCAGACAGTCATTCTTGGTATTTTATGAAAGTCAAATTAAACTTATAGAATCAGAATATAAAAACATTAACAGGCATAAAATCTCTCTAAATTACTTTGCGATTATCAGAGCAATATTAGATGCAAAATTTAATGAATTTTAGTATTTAGAAAATTTACAAATGGCTACTAAATTCGCAGATTTTGTCTTTTCATGGATAAGCACTTTTTCATTGGAGAAAAATACAAAACAAATCATTTAAGTGAGCTAAGATTAATTAGATAATGTTCGGTTAGATTTTTTAATGGACACTTTAAATCCAAAATTAGGCTAAATACATGAAGTCATAACGTTTAAGTATTTAAATTAAAATAAATAGTTAATTTTTATTTGAGTAGTCATCTCTTGATGAAGTGTATTATTATTTGCATTGTAGATATATGCTTTTCAAAGGATAAGTTAAGAATCTTTCCAGATCAAATTTTGAAACTATCATGTATGTCCGATAGGAATAAGCGGAACAATTAATCTAAGAAATTATGCATAAATATTCTACAGAATAAATTAATTATACAAAAAATGTTATTAAAGAAATGGTTGTTACTAAAAATAAGATTAAATTGGTTGATGGTCATTATTTGCTACGGATTTTGCTTGAACTTTACAGGCAAGAAAGACAGACAAGATTAGCAGTTCTAAAGGAAATGTTTCATTCCTGTTTATCCTTATAGAGCTTTGGAAAATATGGAGTAAATTATAAAAACTTTAGAAAAATCTTCTAATTTAATTTCCCAACTTCATCTGAAATTGAAATATGCTCTCTTTTCAGAGAAGCACATATGTGTGGTGACGGTATTGTCACCGCAGAATCATTCTTTACTGCTGCTACTGAACAAAATTTCTTCATAAAATAATTGTAATTAAATTACTTGATGCATCCTCCTTAAGTTGAGTTTTATAAGCTTAGCTATTGTGAATTTAATTTGCCATACTTGGATTTCTATAACCATTATAATCAAATACCGAAAAAGCTTATTCAAAATGTTTGTTTATCTATGGGATTAGAATACGTAAATGCTGAGCTAAATAAATACTATTAAATTATAGATGCGTTGTTTGCCCATCCATATAACATTTATTCTTTATTATAGATGATGACTAAATTGATGAACCTTTTTAATAAAATTTAAATGATTAAGAACCTTCAGAAGGTACAAGAGGATTGGACTAGTATTGAGTTAGAAGCGATTAGACAATTAGTAAATCAAATTCCTGGAGTGTTTGGGTTGGTTTTAGATTTGGATTAAGAAGAAAGATTGAATTTGATATAAAGAAATTAGAAAATTCGTGCATTGCAATTGGTAGGCAAAAGAAAAGCTTTAAAGTTTTATTCATTTATTTCAGCAATGTTGAATGCTAAAGTCAAATAGGAAAAATAACCTGATGCATCACCAAAGAGGGGGATGAGGAAATCAGGTAAATTTTGATTTTATTTATTATATTTTTGAAATTATTTAATTAACAATGTAATTAATTGTATAATTTGTATAACTTGTTCTCATTTTTATACTAAAACTGCTTTAAGCAATTAGTCTATTTATAATTTATTTTTTATAATTTGAGCTTTGATATTTTGAATTTTAGACTTTTTCTCCTTTATAACTTCTTCAACGTCTGCAATTTTATCATATAATGGTTATTATGCCTAAAATGTAAATGAATCACACTTACTTCTTCAGTTGCTCTATTCATATCCACCATCTTTTGTTTAGAAACATTGTAGATCTTCCTCCATTATTGCAACTCTCTATTCATATTCTCAATATCATCCTGAATAAATTCAATTTATTTAGCCAAAGGATTCACGTTCTAACTCATAGATTGGATCAGTTTTTGCATCACTATTGTATCAGAGACTTAGGAGGTGCCTAAATTTTAAGCAATTTCTTCCTTGATTTTATCTACTCATAAATTCAAGTGAATACCTTTTTGAACATTGGCCTTTCCTATCCTCTTCAGTATAATTCCTTCTTAAGGTTGACCCTTTTCTTTTTCCTCTTCTTTGCCCTTATCTTAATTCTTCATATTATCTCTTACGAATTTCCCATATTCTTGTGCATTAATATCAGCATTTGGCTTCACATTACTTTAAACTATTATGCCATCGTCCTCATCGTTATTTCCTTTCCCCTCTATAATTACATTTGCTGTGCCTCCCTTCTTCTAATTCTGGTCAACTGCAACTTGATTAGTGGGCAATTAAGGTGGTCTCTTTTTGGCTGTTGAAGGTCGGACATTTCCCTCTTGAGTCTACTGCTATTAAGGAGGAGGTTGTTATTATTATTTTTGAGTTTCCTTTGGCTATTAAGGAGGAGGTTATTAGGGTTATTATTTTGGCTTTTATTCTTCTTTTGGAGGAGCAACTTTCTTTTCCTCCTTGACTTGAGGTGCAGCCTATTCTTTAGGAGGTGGCTGTTGAACTTTTTCTGCCTTAGGCTATTCCTTTTTAGGAGGTTCTGGGTCTTTGGCTCCTGCTCCTCCTAAAATCTATAATAAGATTATAAAACAGTAGTACTTTCTTAACAAAAGGGTCACTATTTTTACCACTAACAGCTGCTCTGTAAATTGCTTATAATAATAAATTAGTATTTTCAGGTTCTAAACCTGCTGCTATTTTACCAGGTTTTGCAGCAATTTCCTCCTTCAACATCATGGATGTCAAATCTATGATCTTTTATAGAAATTAAAGCTTCTTGTCCTTATTATCATATGTGTTTCCATCCAATTCATCTCCAGTATAGAGTCCTTTACCATAGCCTAATGTAAATTTAAATTTGAAACCTGTTTATTTAGTTGTCTCCATAATGATATCAAATATGTATTTGAATGGAGGCTTTTCAAGTAACTTTTATGACATTTTTGGCTTTTCGAATAGAGCACTATACAAATCTGCTGTAGGTTTCCAAAAATCTGCCATATTTTTTATAAAAGAAATAATAATTCAATATTGATGTTATATTATTTAAATCAGGAAATCTATCATATTACTAATGTGGATTTCATCATGAACTTAAATGATACTCAGCCAATTTGACTTAGAATGGAGATATAAACGATAAAATATCTGAATAGAAATTTTATAATTAAAGAAAATACAAGATTTTAAGATCTGAGAGCACTTCCCATTTCTATAAATAATTACCTTAATATATATATATACACCAATTTAGAATTATATTTACAGAAAAAAATGTCTGCTATCTTTGGTCTTGATAGTCAGTTACATATTGCCATAGAAGATCAAGTTTAAGAGGAATCGTTAATATGAACTCAAAATATATTTACAGTTTTAATGTCATAAACTAAATCGTTTATTCTGTTCGAAATGAATCGATTGCTATTTTCTATTTATTTGAACATTCCAAATCGATCTTCAAATTCTGTCAATTGTTTCATTATTGAGCTCTCCATCACTCGAGTGTTCATCTTGTATGAGTCATTCAATATTAATTTAAATTAGTTATAACTCTCTTTTTTACCGAGTTTCGAAAACTATTGCATTACTTCAACTTCTTTATCTTAATAATGATAATCAATAATACTTAGTAATTTTTATTTTTAATTTAATATAGTTTATTCTAACTAACGATAAGAATCATCGCATAATTTTTTAAAAAGATCTTCTAATTTATCCTAAAAATCATAAAGAACTTGCAAAAAGAATTGATCTGGTTTATTTTTTTTTTAAATTAATTTATTTTCATTATTGATAGTAAAATTCTGAAGTATCCTCAAAAATATGGTATCCACTGATTGCCAATCTCTGAGTTTAAAATTCTTGAAAATCCATTCTATCTCTTAAAATCGAATATGAGATTTAATTAACTTATCTGCCGCCGAAAGAATTGCTTTTTCACTCTTGTACTCATGTAGTTAAATCATCGTCTAAGTTATTTTTGTAATTATTTAAAATAAATTAGTATCTTTGAAAGGGGTTTCCTTTATTTGATTGACTACTTCCAAGTTTAAATTTATTAAAGAATTGTTTCTAAATTGCATTTTTCTTGAAAAAAACTATGGAGATTAATATTTAGATAATTAAGGAGATTTCCTAGCTGTCGAAACTATTAGCTTGGATTCAATGGCTTAATCTGAACTATCTATTTTTAATTTCCTATGCTATCTCGTCGAGTCCGAAGGCGATTGAAAAGGAGCTATTGGAAGTTCTGAGTGCTTAAAGATTCTTTTTAATTGGTTCTTAGACTTTGTACTCGAGACCGCTTCTATTGAGGGTAGACTATCCACTCTTATTTTTATCTCTCTCTGCTAATTCGATTACTTGGACATACTTATTTAGAACAAAAATAGCTATAAATATTAATATGATAGTGTGTCTATAAATACATAATTAAAATAAATCATGTAAATTCAATGAACTGATCAGGATATTATTTTCTCAAGATCAAGGACTAAGAATAAAAAGGACTAGCCAACTTATACTAGTCTCTTGTATTTAATAACCTAAATTTATCGTCATTGCCTTATTATTTTCATTTTAAGTGGATTGAAGCACAAAAATAATAAATACGTATTATAATTAATAAAATACACTTTTATGAATATTTAAAATCCTTATAAATAATATCAATAAGAAATAATCATATTACACCAAAAATCTTTATTCATTGCTTATAAATGGCTTAAGCTTATTGAGGGTAATAATCAGAATTTTTAATTTATTCTAATTACTATTCCTATTTGAAAATAATATCACCTTTCTTTTCCAATTATTGAATACCAATTTGCTATTAATCTATGATGATATTCTATTTTATCTAGGTTTATTTGATAGAACCTATGTTTTGTTGTTCAATACATTTTTTTATGGCTTTGTCTTTCTCCTTCTATTATGATGTGGAATCAGATGCTAAGCCAGCTAGAATCTATAAATATTGAGAATTCCCTACTTAATTTACATGTTAATCATTGCATTGACCACTTACAGCTGCTCTGTAAATTGCTTACAACAATACATTTGTTTGTTCTGGTTCCAAGCCTTCCAGTATATTGTTAGGTTTAGCCTAAAGTTCTTCATTCAAAGTTAGAGATGTTAAATCAATAATTTTCTACAAAAAGAATACCTTCCTATCCTTAATATAATAGTAATTGTCATCCAATTCCTCACTTTTATATAATCCCTTTGCATAACCTAATGTGAATAGAAGTGAAACCTGTTTTTTTTCTTGTTTCCAATATTATATCAAAAATATAGTTGAATGGAGGTTTAATAAGATATTTTTCTTTCATCATTGGCCTAGTAATTAGAGTACTGAACATATCTGCAGTAGTTTACCAAAAGTCTGCCATATTATTAGAAAAGAAATAATGATTGAATATTTTTAAATCTAAATTATTTACTATATTCAAAGATTAAAAAATAAATTCATAAGCTCTTATTTTTCCAAACTTATAAAAGTAGATTAAATTAGGGTGCTAATTTACATTAAGTATAAGATTGAATAACCTTTGTTTATTCATAAAATAAAATAATTTTAATATAAGCCCTATGTTATAGAGAGTATGTAACATAATCTAAATTTTTATATATTTAAATTAAACAAAATAAAATTATTGAGCTAGAAAAATGATAGCCCATAGTTTATACGGATTATAATCATAAAGATAAAGATATTGATTGAAATACCACATTTTCATAATTTTGTTAAATTAATAGAGAATAATAAGAATAGAGGTTGAGGAAAGTAGAATGATATTTTTTTTGACAAGAGTTTGGATCAAATTCTGAGATGGAGATAATATTGATATATGGTATTCTAAGTGTTAGAGTGTGGAGAGGAAGAAAATAGGGTTGATAGGAGAAATGGATGGGGATTTAGAGATCGAGGTTATTTTGATTTATTTGTGATTGGTGATTGGGATGGTAATATGGTTGTTGGTTTGAGGGAGGAGAGTGAAATGAAATAGTTATTGGATTCAGATGAGGGTATTATGGAGATTAAAACATGATTGATGTTGAATATTATTATTAATATAAAAATGTCGTAAAATGACCCTGCTTATTTTGAGAAGTAAAAAGAGGCCTTGAATAACTTTTTACAAAACAGAAGCGAAAGTTTTTCAGAACGCAACATCTATGATATTCGGGATCGGTTAAGCAGGATTTCAGAGGAATAGCATTCTGAGCGCAGTCGTGATCCAAATCATGTATGAGTATTGGTTAAAAGGGAAAGTAGTAAAATTTACAGAATTACCATAAGTCGTTTATTGAGAATAGCTTAAACTTGATGGTTGTTGTATTGTAAAATGTGGAGCCATAGACCAGTCGTAATGTGAAGTTCAATGTGAGAGCGGCGACAATTGAATTGTTGCAGAAGAAGATTTTGTTGCAACACATGACTCAGTCAGTGGTCGATCAACTGACGGTGGTGTTGGAGAAGGACAATGAGAACAATGCAGCCACAGCGATTCGAATAATGAATGATTTGCTGAAGACCAATCAATAGCAATCGCATCAGTATCAGAGATCAAACAGCGTATTCACAGATACACATTTAATGAGAGTGTTCAATTTCTTTGAGCAGAGAATCGAATTTCTGGTGAAGTTTAATAATGAGCTCAAGAAGTCACAATACAAGAAAGTGATGGGAGACAACCAAATAAATCCCTTTCATGATCAGTCATATGTATTACAACATGAGAGTGATGATAATAAACGGGAGAAGGACATTCGATTGAATATTTTTAGTTTGTCCTTTGTGACTAACATTCCCCCCTTCTTCATCCACACCATATTTGCCCTTGATCCAATTGTCAAGGAGGAGGTAAAATAGACAATAAAAGTTAGACCAAAACACAAATGAGGGAAGTCTTGAAGAAAGCACTCAAAACCATGAATCAAGTAATCAATGAAACCAACTTTCAAGACTTATTACAAAAAGTACCAAGAAACATAGTTCAAGAACTTTACAATGCCTACTCCAAGTTCCTCCAACTCTTTGCACTCACCATCAAAAGAGATGATGGCCAAATTCAATCTTAATCCAGAATCATCAGAGACTTAGCTGATACAATTAAACTAGATTAAGTGGTGGCCACCATCATAAAAACACTCAAGTATTGTCCAGTCGACCTCATGCACATCAGAATTGATATCAGCAATAGACTCAAATAAGCTATAATCTAGAAACGAGATCCAGTATAACAAAACGAAATTTAAGATAAAATACTTGAAATTAATGCCAACGTAGTCGAATTGATTGATGAAGAAACCATTGTTGGCAAGAACCTCAAAATACCACCCTTCCAAAAATCGAATATCTATCTAAATTGGCTTGAAATTGTTAAACATGTTGTACAGAGTTACCTACCTAAAAGTGATCAACCTACCAACAATCTACCTAAAAGCGATCTACCTACGAACAATCTAGAAAAGATGCAAACCGAATTCATCAATAATCAAATCTACATGGACAAAATCTTTAATACCCTATTCAAAGTATTGTTTGATTCCTCATTGCAATTGTTAATACATGAAAAAGCCTTAGATTTAATCAAAATATTTCTGGATTTGTTTAGCAAACAATCAACCTACTTTGTTGATAGAAATCTACTCCAATTTTATGTAGATTAATATCCACAATAACAAAACGACTCAATCTTCAAAAAGGTTACCACTCACAGTCCGAAGTACTAATTGCTTGATAGACTGTTCTCAATGATGGCGATGAAATTGAATCAAATCAGGAAATAGATTCAGCAAATCAAAGAAATGCTTCGAAGAACCTAGAAATGGGGTCTAATAAAGAAGACCACTCCTCAAACCAATGTGGCTGCCATCCCCAGTAACCCAGATGCACTTAATGAGTAGTACATCTCTCAATTAGAGTAATATATACTCGAATCGGAAGTGGACATAGATCAAAACCTAATCACTCAACAAGACTAGGCAGCCACTCAAGTTTATACTTATGATGACGAAGAAGAATACTAAGTCAATTCTTTGAGCATCACCACCCATACATAATATGTTGAATTTGCAAAGGAGTTGAAATCGAAGGTGTTCGATCAATTGAATGACATTCTATCGAAACTATTGGCATTCGTTACAAGTACAAATAAAGAGATCGTGAATAGACAAAAGAATAGAAACAATTACAGTATGCCTACAAAAATACCTCCATTTTTGTAGGTTACTGGAGATGGCAAACCCTATCTCAGTAATTTATAATGTCATTATATGTCTAAAATATTGAAGAATGGATTGATGATATTTGATGAATTGCATGATCACTAGAGAAATCACTTCGAAATTCTTGATTACAAGAAAAAGACGATCCCTTAGTTTATGCAATTCTTTATTTAATTTTAGGATCCAATCAACTTCAAAAATATTTTCGAACCCAACTCAAACTTAATCTTGAAGATTTCTATTCATCTACTCAAGACTTGTCCTGAAACCAATTGTCTCCCCAGTCTATTACAGGATCATTTGGGAATTCTCAACGCACAGCAGCAAGACCCTCAAAATGGTTAAAAACATTCAGTAAAATACTACATAGAGTTTTTATTAAGTCTATATTTAAAAGAATTGCAAACTACTCCCGAATTGCCTACGAAATTTGGGTATTGTAGGGGAGGACAATTGATGGGCAAGGAAAAGAACATCAAGCAGAAGGACCAAGATGAATACATCACTTTAATATAAAAACTGCTCAGAATACCAATTCGATTATTCCCAAGGGTGAAATGCCAATAGAACGAAGAACCCATAGTCAAACCTATAGTGAAGTAGTTAATCCTCTTTTTTGTGAAAAAGTCTCATGAGACACATTATCCAATTGATTTTTTGGGGTTGTTGTTATCGCTGGTGAAAAGAATCTAAAATAATGATCAGGGAGAAGGGCTATCGAAATATTTCTAATAGTTGTGTGATAAGTATGACAGAAGCGACAAGCAATAGATGATGTAGAGACAGCAATGCGACTTGTATCATAGATTGAGTCTGAGTGGTGTGAACATAGTGTTGAATATGTTTGAGTTATTTCAAACAGGCATAGTGGAGATCTAGGATATAGTTGCTGAAGTTATTGCCAATTTCCCCTTATAAAAAACAATTTAAATTAATTTAGCAAGGTAGTATCCTGTGTTTGCTCAATGTCTCTTTCGAGCATTGCATAACATATCAACCATTGAGAATCAGGTGATTTAAAAGACTTTGTTGATGTTGGAGAATATAGTGACCAACTTGAGCATGGAAGAAATGAGGGACTTCTTTGGTGATCTCTTGTAGCCATTTATTGAGAAGTTGCTGACCTTCCCATCCGAATACAAGATGGCTGATATCTATTCAAAATAGACGAATTTGTTTCTGGATCCCTCTTTCAAATCTCTGAAGATCCTCTCTAAGTTGGGATCCTTGGTTCGGAAATCAGAATGGCCAATCGAAGTTAAGAGGAATCACACCGACAACCCTTACAAAAGGAATCAGTATTTGGAAGTGCAAATAGAGGGACTCTAATCAACCCTTAAGATCAATCTCACCGAAACTGTGCTATGTGCTGTTGAGATCTTGCAGAACGTGTTGGAACAGCAATTGGCTACCTATCTGTTCAAACAGTCCTCCATCCAACACAGTTACTCTATTGTGAAATAAGTTATTCTGGGATACTATCAGATGCCCATTTAATTTGATCATGATTTGTATAATTATTAAATACCCCAAGGGATGGCATTAGAGATGAAACTGTAATCTCGTCAATGTGAACAAGATCAATTGATGTACTAGGATGAGGAATTGATATCTGCAGTAACCAAGGTTTTCATTGGTCTCAGCAATTTCCATAACATCATACAAACATTGACTACAGCCACATTCCACAAGATCAAGGAAGATGTAGAAAATGTGGTGACAACCTTAACAGAAATGTTCTTCATTCAACTAGCTGATGATCATTGTGAAATGATTGAAAAGATCAAGTCTCCCAAGCCAGACCTCAATTCCCTATATACTATGACTGAATCCATAGTGCATAATTATCTCACTGAAAAACCTCAATCGATTAGATGGATATCCTATCTATTTAGAGGATTGAACAAAAGGTATATGTTGACTGCTGAAGAAAACATGAATTACAAGGATTTACATATTCAACAAGAAGAATTCATTTGGAATAAGTTATTAAAGAGCAATTCTCTAAGGAAATACAAAATAATATTGTAGAAACACATGGAAAATAAATAGCATTTAAAATGGGCATATGATGTTTACTATTCTGTTGTTATTAGATTGTTTGAAGAGTTTATATATGAAAAGTTTGGAAAACAAACCTAATTTTTGAAAGAGGATGATCGTCGTCGGAAAATCTAGATAGTTTAATGTATGATTTAATATTTATCAATTAAGCCTATGGAGGAACTATAATTCCATCAGAAGGATTGAATTGCAGATCCATCTCTATTGAATTATTGACCGAAATCCAGAATCTACTGCCTAAATTTGAAGATTACTACTCATCCATTGAGATTGTTGGATTACCTTACATCCCAGATTAGAGAATCGTTGAATGCTCATTCACGTTACTCAGATAACTACCAGAAACAATCAGAGTGGCTTCTCAGCAAATCACCAAGACTCTATTGAATCAAACTTTAAGCTTATTGATAAAGAATCTCAACTATGATCATTCAATATTTGAGCACTCTCATCAAAGTATGCTCCTCTTGTAAGATAAATTGCGTTGTTTTATTAAGATTGTCGCCTAGAATTGCCTTACTTACAAGAGATCCATCTTGTAGATTTGCACAGATCTCTTTGACACTGTGATCACTCACCGTTTTAATGAGAATGCAGGATCATTATTCTATATGAACATTGGCCCAGAGATGAAATACAATCACGAAGAGAAGATCGAAGCTATTCCATTAGACAATCTACAATAATTTGGAAATGGACCTTGCCAATGGGTTAATATTGAATTTTCAGAAATTCTTATCTCTCCCTACACTCA